TATGGCTACAATATATATAAGTGGCAGTAAACATTTCCATGGTGATAATAAAATTAATAGCTATTTTTAAATACTCTATTGTTTATATTAAATACGCATCTCGACGGAACATAGATGTCGTTGATCTAAATTCTTCGAAGTAGAGGTCGCTATAACCCTGTAGTGATTATAATGATAATATTATAATACTACAAATAAATAAGAACTTCGTGACTTTAGTAACTTTTAATATATTATAATAAATTATATAACAATAAAGTTTATAGCAAAAATAGATAACTATTTTCTACAAATGTTAATTAAGGAATGAATAACTAATTCTAAAATGGAATCTATATATACATCTCTATCAACAAGTAAACATGGTAATAACATCTCCATAGTGATAATAGAAATAGAATAACAATTTACAATTTGCGGTGTCGATTTACAGTAATCGTACTTTCTGACAGAATGATAGTGTAGATGGCGTTGATGTTAATTTTGAGAGTGTAACGGCCGCTACAACCCTGTAAAACAGAGAAATTTTCATTTGTGAAAAAACCTAATTTAGCGAAATGAATTGTGAACTTTGGCGATTGTATTACCCTAATGAGACCCTTAGCTTTCTTTTCATACCCCATTTGACTCATAAAATGCAGAAATAAGTATTTTTATAATTTATTAGTACCAATGAGTTACTGTTAGATGGCACCACCATGTCCTTTGTGACAGTTCGCACTAATTATGAAAAAAACCTAATTAGGAGGAATAATGTGCGAACTTTTTTATATGCCTCCTTAAAATTAGGCTCCCCGTTTTTTTTCTATGTGTTTTGTCCTAGAAAAACGTCTGTGTAAAAAGTTGAATTTTTTTTTTCAATAGATCGACGGATGTCCTTGTCGCACACTGTTGCTTTCCTTGTCTAACGTTATTAGACAAGGAGAGCAACAGCGTGCGACAAGGACAGACATATACGTGCGGTAAACAAGGAGAGCGACAGTGTGGGACAAGGACAGATCTATACACGCGGTAAACAAAGCGGGCGATAGCGTGGAACAAGGACAAACATATCCGTGCGGTAAACAAGGCGAGCAATAGCGTGCGATAAGGACAACAATATAAATTAGTTCCGGCGTCTATCTTAGGGGTAATCCACACGGTGCATGCTTAAGTTGAGAAATTATTTAAGTATTGCGCATGTGTAGAGGTGGGAAAATTCTATTTAAATTTAAATTTGAATCTCGCCTTTGGATTGAATATTTGTACTTATACATAAATGTTAAATTGGCGAGGAAAATATATTGGGAAAGAAAAATGAAGAGAGATAATTTTTACACGACAATGATTGATAATTTATTGTAATATCCAATTACGAAAGTGGAATACAATTTTATCGGCCAGACATTCTATCTGAAGTTGAGGTCGTTTCTCGCTGAAATTGATTAAAAAAAATCATGAACCAACGGTATATGAAATAATTATTACAATCAGAGCAAGGTCGCGTAATATAAAACAGTGAGTCTTGATTAGTTCTTACAACAGTGTCATTTTAGTTATGCTAAAAAAAATATAATTCTTGTTACCAGTGACAATAATTCATTCATATATAAGTAAAATATCCATTTGCAGTCATATACACTTAAAAACCTTAAACATTTATATCATCGTATACATATATATATAAAGGGCATTTCGCGAATAACTTTACCAATAGTCAGACACGACTTATATTCTGCTTCTGAAAATAAGTAACATTCTCAACATTCGTAAAACAATCTCTAAAATTTCGTTAGTATTGAACTAACAATGCAAAAAACGATGGAGGTCCATTGAAAGAGATCCATAATCGAATCTAGGATAAATATATATATGTATAATGATATATAAGATCTCTCTGTAATAACCTCTAACAGTTCGTCGACGATCCAGAAAGTTACACACTTCTGAAACACCCTATATACACATATACACAGTTATATATACAGACGTATGTATACATGTACACTCTGTTTATATATAAGTATAGTTTTATATCTATATGGTATATTCATAACAGAATTATATATTCGTGCCTCTTTACAAACAGTCGATACTTCAGTTAAATTATTAATTGATTTTCTTCACTTTTATGGTGAAGACAGCACTGAATAATACACATGGATTAATATCAGGACTAGATCAATGGCAGATCTTTGACTAACTACTACTGAAACAGTCAAGGAACAATGATGGTACAACAATGAGTTTAATTTCCTTTAATTTTGTCTGATGTTAAACCATTCATTAAAAAAAAAAAAAAAAAAAAGAATGATTCATTATCTAATATGATATAAGATTCAGAGAATCGAGCCGCATCACTGTTCGATCTATGCTTTGTTTTAAACATCATTGCTTGTACCAATTCACTGATTTTTCTATTAACTAACTCGCAGCAATTATCGTAACAACATATTAAGCGATACGATACTTCGATTTGTTATCGATTACAAAATTAAATACATTTTTTCCCAAAAACGGACACGATAATTATTTGTCTAATTACAAATATTTAAGCGCACACTTCGAGAACATATTTGATAACTAACGTCTACGTTCTTCGTCATCGAGCTGTGTCATTCTCGTCGAAGAAACTATTATATCTTTATTATCATGTATGACAATACTGTCGCTGACGAAGTTCGTAGAATTTTCTATTTGATAAATTAATATTTGCACATAATCTAAACATTTTTATCCATGAACATTTTGTAGCGATACTTATTTATGTACACTTTGACGTATTTACAAATACCGCTGACTACGTCGACATGGAACTATAGCAATTGTCTTTTGTACCAACGTTTATCGGAGAATACCATTCATATTCTCGATTCTTCTTGATAGACAACATACAAAACATGTGTTTGTGTTTCTTTGTCAATTTTTTTTCGTATTTTTTCCTCTCTTTTTTTTTTTTTTTTTAATATATTTCGCAATCGATTGCATTTTTCCTTTTCTTTCTGTTCTTACAAATCGATATGAATAGTTGAAAATAACATAGCACCGAAGGAACTTGGGCGCAACATTACGCGTGTATTGTTAGTATATCTATAACTCTTGGCAATGATTAAAATTACTATAATAACAGAATACTTACAAGTTAGTTTATCTCTAACGATCAGTGTTATGATTAATATCGACTTTCCCTCGGTAACAACGAAGAAGATTCTTGATTTATCCTCTCCTATTTTTTTTCCATTTTATATCTTATGAACTACGATTAGAGCAATGATATTAATTTCAACTAGATAAAACATGATTGTACATACACACAGTTCGCGGATACATTTCTCAGTACTCGATCGAAGATCGACAAGATTCCGCGAAACTGATTGAAATGAAACAGTAAAAAGAGACATTAAAAGAAAAGACAGCACTTTTTTCTCTAGGAAATCACTTTTCTCTACTCTAAGATGACAACCTACATTTCTTTTAGGAACTAGATTCGTGTCTCAAGCTATATTATCAAAAATTTTGATCGTGCTCGATTGCATTTTGCAAAAGATGCTGGTTTCACAAAAAAAAGCTCTGGTAGTAAACCGGTAAAAAAATCAATCGCATCGCGCTTTAAAATAGTAGATGATACAACAACGATTAAAAGGAATAAAAAGACAAAGTCCTCGTACGTTCAAACCTATAATCTTTTTCTCGTTTAGAAAGTTCTTCTTCGCACCGGATGGGAGAAGTTCTATACAGTTAATACTCGCGCTTTATACAACATGGATATTCGTCGTATCAAGTGGCGTTCTCTTTTTTTTTTCTTTTTTTAAATTTACAATAGGTATACAGAGAGGATATAAAAAGGCGGAGTAACAAAGTAGAATTATCTTCTTTAGATTGTTGAGCACGTGTCGGTCGAAATATACGAGGACTTCCTCTTCGAACTATCCTCGTACAGTTTTACACTTAAATGCATATAAACTAATGCCGGGGCTCGAAGAACGACCGGCAGCGTGCGAATCGTCAGAGTTTTTCTGGCGCGGTAGATCTTATGGTTGACGCGGTCTGACTCTGCTGTGAAATTGGAGGCCCGACGCTCGTTGATCGTTCCAATGGATATATCATCTTATTTGGAGTTGGTTGCGACACTGCACGCTTCGCCAGCCTAAAAGAGCTATCATTTGTTACTAATTAGTAAACGCTGATTATAAAAGAACAAGCAAATAAATTTCAGATTTATGGTAATATATCTAGTATTAATTATATCTAAGGCATTTCTTCAGGTACACTGATCAAACTTCAAAAAGAGAAAATTGAGAAACTTCTTAAAGAGAGAAGACAGAATCAGGCATATCATAGTAAAATTATTTTGATCAATGTAATTCCTTCAATTATTATTTCGCAATATTAAAAAGAGATGAAAACATCACAAGATAGTTAAAAACAGAATAAGCATCAAACCAGTTCATTTCGCTATAAGTTGCAGGGTTCATGAGTCATGCCTAAAGAGCCAACAGTTATTTTTGACTTATAAAAGTTTCTCAATAAACTATGTTACACCGCAATCAAAAATTATTGGTAATTTGTTAGTTAAGAATCTATAATATTAGAGTTAGATCTTTCTATTGACGTTCTTGTCGGTGATTCTAATTACATTCTCTTATCACACTAATCTCTTTTGTTATTACATGTTGCTATTTACATATATAATTAGATTCGCTATCGTCTAACAATAAGAGGCTAAGACTAATATATATGTATTATACATGTATTATATGTCATGATGAAAACTCTCTTGAACCGTAGCGTAATCGAGAAACATACTGCACCGATTAATTAAGATCATCGGTCGTGGAAGCAGATGAGGACATGGATTAGCAGCGTAGTAGAGCTAGCAGTGTGTGTATTTAGATATTCATACTGAAAGCGTGATATAAATGTAATAATTCCATGAAGCGTTAGTGAGTGATCAAATGACGATGAGGACGAACAGCTGTCCCGTCTGCAATGACAGCGATACAGATAGTGGATTAATCGCTCATTCCTTAAATACGATGATAGAACAAAAAATTATGAAGTAGAAAGAGTCAGCTTAGTTTAATCTTCTAACTGAAGAGGATTAGCAGGATTAAAACCGATTGGCTCCGAGCACGTAAAATCGTTGCAGGTTCTGCATAGCCGCTCCATTTGCGAGGATTAAATACATAGCTAAAAATTGACAATTGAATATATCGTGTCATAAAGCATTTAAAAAACATTTGTAATACCGTGTGACACGCTATTTCGTAATACACTGTATGTCCGTGAGTTGTGGTATTTTTTAAAACAGCATTCACATATAATAGTCGTGCATCGTGTCAGAGCTTTTGTTCTATCACAGGTTAAATCGTGCTGTTCAAGCAAGATTTTAGCCTGATCGACCAGCAAATGGGAACACACGATACACGTTTTTAGAAACGTGGCTTCAAAAATATAAATGCTACTAAAAATAACGCACTAAACACGAAACCATTTGTACAAATCGCTAAGTTAAACAAATAATTCAACTGTAAAACAATTTTGCAAATGCTAAATAGTAGTGGATATAGAGTCTACAAAATAAAGATTACTTTCAAATAGAAGATACTTAATATTTTGCTGATACTAAAAATTTTGCTGAATGAAAATTAAATATAAATTTCTGTATATGTAGAATATTTAATATTATAATTTGTGCGCCATTTGCGATGGATCTAGCTTAATATTCATTATAACACAAACATTCACCTAACAGATTTCAAGCGGTAAGGGGCTCTAGTTTACCTTGGTCACTAAAGTGAGATCAGACCATTTTCAGGATGTAACGAAAAAACTTTTTAAGTCTGTGTACATCTAGACATTCATAGTTGATTAACCACAAATTCTGGACATGTGTATGGTTGATAGATAAAACATTAAGTTTGAGCGTTGAGAATGGTGGCGGCTCTTGTCGAGAGCACGAGATATCGACTACGTCGCGTAACATATCTTCATAACAGGTACCTGTAATTAAGACACTAATAAGCTTTAGACGCCGTTCAAATCTTTTAACTAGTAGCTAAAACAGAAATCTTGCAGTTGTATCAAAAATTATTTAAGAGATAAATTGTCCGTCGCTCCAACATCAAGAAACAAGAATTTTCGTTGCTTCAATAGGTATTAAGTACCTCTAGTATTTAGATTCAAAGTTAGAATAAAATTTGTTAAAAGATAATCTTTCCGTTCGCAAGTACAACACCAATGTAATGTAAGAAGAAGAAAAAATACAAAGAAACAGAAAAATGAAAAATGATAGATATCAGTGAGCAAGTACTGTGTAAAAAGTGCAAGGACGTATAGTGTAAATTAGAAAAATATTTTTTGTGCTGAAATTACGTTAAGAGATAATCGTAGATATGCAGGATAAAGTATTTATGATGATTGCTGTTCATGAACATACGATATAGACTTATTGATGGTGTGACCAAAAGTGAAATTTTTAAAAATTGTTTGTTGGTCTATATCGTTTGTTAAAACTCTTACGGATTATACCGTACCAAGAGACAATTAAGATTATTCTATTTACATATGTACCTTGTTTTCGTAGTTATGATTGTTTTATAGAGAAATCTCTCAATATAAACTGGGGTTTTAGTAAATACTGATGGGTGCGATTTGAATATGAAGATCGCACACGTCATTGATCGCTTCTGAAATAACTACTTTTGCTTAAAACCTCATACTGATCACAGTATGCAGAGCTATAAAAATACAGCATTATCTATGTACAGACGTTAGAATTCTCTCTATTATTCTGCGAAATGCCTTACGCCCATTCTGCATTCTTCTTTCTAGAGGACAACATTTATCGCATATGCACATTTCCACCATTCTGCAGCAACCAAAACATCTGAACGCCGAGGATAGCAAGGATTGAATGAATTATTACCTTAAAAATTTCCACATTACGACGAAGTGTAAGCACTCGGAACACAGTATTCACATCAAATCATATTTATCACAAAATAGATAACTCACCTTCTTCGCCGTAGAGAAGCGTTTTGTCCGGGTAAACCGAACTGACCTCTTGGAATCACCATACGTGCATTACCCTGAGCAGGTCTCGAACCTCCGTGCGCCTGTAGCATACTCAAATGAGCAGCATAACCATCGTGAAGAATTGTTGCTAAAGAGTGGTGCTTCTTTGACGCTTTTCCAATGATGAAAATTTGATTTGGCTTAAGATTGATCGCAGTGTAAACACTGATATCTTTACTACTGCCGTATGCGTGATGAATTATTACACCATGTTCCTAAACAAAGAATATATCGTTCGAATCGTTCGAATAATATCGAAACATTTGAATATTGTTTTCAATTGTTGTTATTCACCTGTACTAATTTATGTAAGTACGCAGCTTTATGACCAAGTGGATCCGTTGAAAGACCATCCGCAAAGGACACAAGACCATGAGGAAAATTGTGTTGAGACAACCAAGAAACAACTTTTTGCTGTTGCATATCAGGTCTTGCAGTAATATATATAATTAAGTATCCTAACTCTTGCCAATGCCTAATCAAGATCACAATCAGAATAACCATGAAATCAAGAATTGGACGTAAATGAAAATATGTATGGTTTAAAATATACCTGACAACATCGACAGCCCCAGCTCTAACTTTCGGATCTTTCCCACTCACTGACATACTCGCAGTAAACGAGCCATCTATACTAAACACCACGCATTCTGTTTTTGGTGGAATCACAGTCAAGAAAAAATCTACGGATGTATGATCACCCCTGAAAACCAAAAATTATATTTTAGACATAATATGATAATATATATTTTTTTTAAACACGCATGAACAATACTACCTAACAATCATTTTAATTGGATAAAGTCCATATCCCAATGCTTTATCATCAGGTATTTTATACGTTATTCTACCATTTTTATCAGTTATTTCAGTTGACAAATATGTCCATTCCCCTGCTGGAGCATCTTTCATAATGTGAATGTCAACTTTCTCGCCTGTAGGAATTCATCATATTTTTTAAAATTACTTAAAAAAACGTGTATTACGTATGGTCGTACGTGTGCATACTATATTTAACATACCTGTTAAAGCGATAACGTCAATTGGACTGTACATAAACCTAGCAACCAGCACTTGTGGTACTCCTTCTTTAACGATAACGTCATTTGCTCTATGATTGGCAGCAACGTTCTAAAATAGAAAATGTAAAGTGAAATATTCATATCAATAATTCCTTCTTCATGCTGGCTTACCTTAAGTTTAACGGAAGTACGTTTCTTATTCCATTTTTCTCTAGGTTGACCTGGACGGAAGCAAGTTAATTCTTTCTCTTCAGTGAGAAGTGGCAAATCAAATCTGCCTAATTGTCGTAAGATAAATGCAATAACATCAGACGATTCCCAATAGCTAGCATGAAAAAGATGAGGTAAAGCGTTTGTGGGAAAATTTGCTAAACCCTCTGGACAATAGAGAGCGTAATCTAGTCTCTTAGTGCCCCACCATTTTTGCGTTACTGTAAACAAATTGTCAAAAGTAAATATATGTTAATTATATACCAATAAATATAGTAGATCAATATTCTATGTATTATAATTAATTTTATTCTTTACTTACAATTAGATACTACTTGTAAAGGAACATTTTCAACTATTCCAGACATCGTACTGTGAATCGATATATCGGACAATCGTCTCAAATGAGACATTTGCACATTTGGAATATTCAATCCATCAGTAAATAATTGTGGATTTGACTGAATAGCTTCCACTGAAGATAGTCAATAATTTATTTTAATTATAAACAAAATAAAAATAAAACGTCTAGAATATATAATACATACACAGATGATAAGGCTGTCCATTTCCTAGTGGATATTTTTGATACCGAGCTATATTTACGGGCGGAAGAAGAGAAAACTTCGCAGAAATCAACGGTTCTAATCTAGCTGCTACAGGATCAGTAGGATGGAATAAATTATACACCTGGTTTACCAACGGTCTTTTTATATTACTAGTTTTATCCGAGGAAATTTTCCTATATGCCAGTACCAAAGCAAGTGGACTACCGAACATGAAAAATTCTCCTACTTCGAAATCCAGTTTACAATGCGAGCCATCACTAAAAAGAAACGTATGTTAATTTCCTAAATTTATATTATCATAAGTTATGTAGACATAAATTCAGTTATAATTTTTTACCTTAAACTAGAAGATTTCCTTCTAGGAGAAGGTGCAGTCAAGTGTTTACCATCTTCGGCGTTCGTACTATTCTCAATGCCCTGATTATCCAAAATATTGTTCTCGCTATTATGTCTAGAGTGAGCCGATCTGCACAAAGCGTCATAAGTTAAAATTGCTCCTACTGAATCTCCAATAAAGCAAATTTGTCCCATAAAACCACGACCCTCTTCGCTTCTAATAAAGTCATGATAAACTTGATTTGCCCCGATTATAACTCGTGAGACAGCATCCTGATATTCAGGAGTAGAACTAGCAAGCAAAGGTATAGCGCCAATCGGAATAGTATCGTGCGTCACTTGAGGAGCATCCATAGACGAAGGCGACACATCGAAACTGTAAGGACTTAGGCTGAAATAAAACATGTGGAACTTTTATATGATAGATTGAGATTCTACAAAAAGATCTACTATCAAGATAAGATAAAAACAAATTTATATCTCTGATTGAATCACATCGCTTTTACCTCGATAAAATACCCAGACCTTCGGTGCAAATGGATGGACAAGAAACAAATTTAATGGCAACGTGTCCGACCATACTAGGATAGTGTTGTCTCATAACTGATTCGAAGGCTCCTTTGAAAGTTGTAATATCCGATTTCTTCGCCGTTAGGTCAACGTTTGCATCTAAATCATATTTTTGTAAGTAGTGATTCGCGATCTTCTGAGCTTATTTAAGCAATAATGATAATCACCTAGTACACTTCCAGCATGCATCACAATAAGAAGGACAGTAGTTTTGCATGGTTGATGAGTTGGCGAATGTTGAGGTGAAGCTGGACACGAAGCATCGATGCTGGCTGATGTAGAGATTTGTAATCTTTTACTGCTACGTTCACTAGCCATACGTTGCAGGTACGAAGGAGAAAAAATCGTGTCATCTATGAATAAATATCGAAAGTCGTCTGTGAATAAGTATCGATAAGTCATATAGCTAGAAAAACATAAAAATTTAAATTGCTAATCGCTATTTACCTTCTTTGCTAGTCATGGTAGGCGAAGTGAACGTATTGTCCTCCTCTTCTGCTAGAAGATCCAAAGAACTCCATTTAGATAATGAAGTGTTATCTTCAAAGTTCTCTGTATAATCAGAAATTTTAACATTGCTTATGCATCGTGCCTTTTTAAGCATCCGCGACTCGTGTTAAGGCACAAATAGAGTTATATGAATCAGAGATATTTCCTTCTTTCAGATATTAGGCATCACAAGGTACAAAATGATAGTAAAAATACATTAAAAATATAAAGTTAAAAATGTTTATTTAGTATCATTTCACAATGATTGTTTAGTATTAACATTTGAAAAAAGTCTTACAATAAAAAAAGCAGTTATTTTGTAATCTACGTAGCCATGCTTTTTCATGCTCGAAGTATAAATTGATAATTTCTTGATAATTTCCATGCTCTATATGTTATGTATGAAGATTTGTATGTAATATGTAATTAATCAGATTTTCTTGTAAGTGTAAATCTCCATAAGCAACAAGTTCACCTTGTTTCGGTCTACAAAGGCATGAATGCAATTACGCAATGTTTCTGAATTTATATCAAGAGTATTAACACTAGTATCAATGTTGTGATCTTTTATCCTTCAACTATGTTTTCCGAAAAAACATATTCAAATGTCTGTAATTCTAAAAATTTAACACTATCTACGTGTCCTACCTTCGCGTATAATAGGTATAATGAACCCAGCTGCAGTGTGGAATGCGACATAAAAAACAGAGAGGGTACACATATAAAAAAAACAGAAAATGTCATTACCAATCACATCATGCTGTATTTTCTACTTTGCAAAATGCGAATTTCTACCTGACACATTCCTGTTTGTTTTTAACAAATTCCTTACACGTTTATTCAGTTTGTTTTTAAGGAAAGAAAACATACGCACAGTGTCTAAAGAAATTCGCCAAGGCGTCTGTTTTATAGTTTAATTACATTAGCCAACTGTTAGTATTACGCATATAAATTTTCAGAAAGATTATTTACATGCTGCGTGAAAAGAAATCGATGTTTTACCTTGACAATCAAAAAACTCATCTTCACTACCAGATTCGGATTCTCTCACGATACTTTCCATGCGCCAATTCACTATTTGCATATCGAAACTTTTGTTCGAGCACGGCGAATTCATCGCCGCCTTGTTCTTCTTCCACCCCTTTTTCGCATCTGCTTTCTCTTCAGTAGGTGCATTTCTGGAACAAATTTGATCGCATAAAATAAATTATAAACTATAAAAAAAAGAAGAAAAGTTACACACAAAAATAAACTAGTTCCTGATTTTACTTCTATTTTTACCTATGCTCGGGTACTTCGGTAGGTGAATCTTCAGGGCTAACTTCACCCTCCGAACTACCAGCTGTATTTGTAGGTATATTAGTCGATTTTCTAGCACTCGGAGGACTTTGAGGATCTTCGTTTTTCTCGATGCTTCCAAGTGTGGCAGCTAATGTTGTGGCAACGTTTGACTCTTGTGGAGTCGTGTTTGAAGCAGTTCTGTCTTGATTGTCATTCGTGGTTTCTTCACCACCTTCTGCGTTAGCCATTCTCTTTTGCAATGCCAGTTGCGTTTGTCGTTCAATCTCCCGAATATCTTCCATAGTCAAGCCATTCCATTCGTCTTGCCAAGCCCAAGCTTGTCTGTGAGCTCTGACCATAGTTTTCCTCAAGGCTGAAATCATTATATAGTACATAAGATTTCAGAATTTGAACGTTAAGAAACAAGGGAACGGATGTGCCCACATGCGATACTAACCTATATCGTGTATAAACTTTTCTAATTTTGTCTGAACACCCCAATATCGAAACTCCACACGGCACAATTTGTACGCGCACATTAACGATTTTCCGGATGGCGTTGGTTGTTGTTTTCCCTAAGCAGTTTTAATGCATCAATATCAATTACCTTAAAGGCCAATTAATCGAAAAAGTAATACGGGAAAAATGGGATTTGTACTTTTACGTCAGACCAGTACTCTTCTAACCATGATTCCGTGAGAGGTCCTCTGCCGGTTTTTTGAGACACATATGTTTTAGGATCCTCATCTTTCACATAGTCGCATTGATCTTTTACGATGTCAATTACATCTGAAATTTAATTATGTAATCGATTAATCATGGATCTCAATATTGTTGTATCATAATAAGAAACGGCAGACCGTAGAAAGTTCTTGGAAATTCATACAAACATGAATACACACCTACGATTCTATTTCTCAAGTCGCTACCACTAAGATTGAAAACGTTCTCTTGATAACCATTGTCAGGAAAATAGTGTGTTTCTATTTCAATAGAGAACTTTTCAACAAAGGGACAAGTGTAACGGGTTTTCGTATAGGGGTAAGCATTCCATGCTTCTTCCTTGGCGATTAATGCGGATCTGGGCAGCAAACTCTTGAACCATTCTGGAAGATGACTACCCACGTGATATATCTTATGAGTATATTGTCCATTTCCACCTGGACCATTACTGTAGGGCTCGTTTGTTATAATTTCTACGCCGCTGCCTGCTCCTTGACTTTCTTCTCTAGATTTTTTCTATAAGAAACAAATAGATTTAAAAATTCAATCACTCATTTACTATCCACTCTTTAATCTTCCAATTTCCATAAGTATATATATCCACAAATACTGTTTTTTTATTTATAAGATAATTGAGAGACGTTATTTTCAAGTTTGTTCGAAATTACGCAGTCTCCTTCATGCTTGCACACTCAGTTGCACTCGATCGCTCTCTTTTCCTAACTATTTGAAAAGTAAATACACCTTTTGTAATCGGAATACACGCGTTCCTCGGCGATCTGAAAGTTCGGACGAGGCTAACAGTCTCTAGGATCTACAGTGTGTTAGATTACCATAGATTATTCTATAATATAAGCAAGTTAATAATTTCAAAGTTCAGTTTACTATTTGTTTCAATCTATTTATTTTATTTTAGTAATCTCATTATCTTATTTTTCAATGGAGTGCTTTTCATCAAATTCTACGTTCTTGCAATCATGTGAAAGTACTACAGCAATGATAAATTTTATGTATTTTATGATTTCACTCATAATTCATAATCGATTAAACTAAATGTTATAATAAATACTAATATTGTACTTGAAAATAAACTTTTGAAACCCGTTCGAAGGTAGAAACAGAAGTAGAAAAAATTTGCCTCATTTCATTCAGATTTATGGAAATTGAAAGATTAATGCAATATATCCATTATAATATTAAATTACCGCTATCATATAAAGCTGAGCAATTCTATATTCCTCGACGGTGAGAGGCAGCGGTATTCGATATTCTTTTATCAACATTTTGCCGTTGTTGCTTATCCTCGATCCGGATAGGCTCTGACGAAAGAAACAGATCGTTCGAAGGCTGTTGCTTCCTCTTTATAGTTCAACTTCATGATATCATCAGCGTGAGCCTTCAAAAGAAAAGAAACAAGGAAAAAAACATTAAATGTTGCATCGAAGTTTATTTTAACGTCGTGCTATTTTCAGTTTGAACATTGCAAAAGAGTGGTTTATTATAATTGAGATTTCCCTTAAGAGTGGCGATCAATATTTCTCGATACGCTTTCCCGCAGATCCGATCAACTTTTATCAGCGTGACGATTCGGATATCGTAGTTTATAATCGACTCGTACTATTTTTATCAATCATCTGGATCTATCAGACATGTCTGATTGAAAAGCAAGAAAACGTGAATAAAAACGTACAAGTTTATATTTCCATATAAACCTCCAAGGAGTATTAAAAACAGAGACCTTCGCGAACATCGACTATGTTGTTTCTCTCGGCCCATAATTGAAGCACATCAAATGCTGAATCGTTGTGTTTGCACATCGTTTCTTTGCACGTAAATCTGCTCTGGGTCACAAAGTATTTAGTGAAGATTAATAATAATCAATGAATGTTACAAACATGATAAGATCTCTTTGAAATAATTCTAGATAAAGTAGTAGTATAGTTTATTCAACATTTATTTTCAAAATAAAATGAAGAATGAGATAAAAAAAATAATTATTCTCGATTTTTATTTATTTAGAATTTCTTGTATAATATCGACATTAATGATTTAAATCGTGTTTCACAGATAATCATGAATTCACGAATCATCTATGCTGTGAAATAATAATGATTTTCTAAAAAAATTCGACGTAAGCGAGATACATATATTTCGAGATTACAGAGGAACAATAAACAAAATGTTGCGTAAGACGCTTATTTATACCCACCTATATTACCTTAGTCAAATGTTAAATTAAACTTTTCAGCGGGAAAGAGCCATAACACGATTCCATTGTGTTGACAAAAAAGATTATTAATACAAAAATACTGATAAAAAAAATTACTCATTGAAGTATGTATTTCATACATTACACAAACATTTAAACAACATGAGTCATGGACTGAGTGGTAAACCTGAGAGAAGAATTTCTTAAGTTTAAAGAAAGAGAAGCGTGATTTACAGCAAAGGATCTCTAAAGTTGCAAGCACATCAAGAAAAAAGATGCCAATAATAGAATTACAAATACGTACTTATTTCTAATTTTATCCCTAATAAAGAAACATTTAACATCTCATTCAGAAAACGATAATCTCATTCGATTGATACCTGCGCGCTGTTCGAAAATATATAATTTTATTCTCGATAGTTCGTCGCAGTGCCCGCGCGGATTTACAACCGTCATTAGGCTTGCTAACCTCTCAGCTACGTTCAATTATGTTTAACTAGATCAGGTGATAGATCTTTAATTGCGACAGTAAACGTGATTTCTACTGTGAGATAACACACTTGAAAAAGCACATACACACGTAACGTACGACGTACAGCAAAGCCTTGCTAGTTGACCGTAGGTAAGAACGTAATTGATAATTCAGCTAATTATCAAGATAAACTTATAAGACTTGGTAATATCTCAAACTTATCAGTATTGGTAATATCTTTATACGAATATAATAAATGTCGTAACTTGAAGCAAGATGTAGTGGAGATACGAATGATCAGCAAGAGGGATTTCTGGTCAGCTAGTAAGGCACTTACTGTACTTACGAATAAAGGGTTTCCTTAACCTTGAACATCGTTGAAACAAAGCAGATACGTAAATAAAACGAAATAATATTATGGGTTCTGCTCTCTCTCATTGATGTATGGTACTTTTCGCGCCACACCTTCCCGAACGAGATGATAAATCGCGGGAATGTCGTTCGATTGACAGAAGACCGGCAGCACCGACTGAGTCGATAAAGCCGTTAATGATCAAAACAATGTTAGTACCAATCTCTATTATTATTCTCTCATTATTATTCAACGTTATACATTCTTTTCAAATTCATTTTCACCTTTCTTATATTATAAAACGTCAACGAATTCATTTTCGACCAGGCAATTCACTGTCACGTAACTTACATTACAGACAGAGCTTGTCTAGAAAGCTCAAGAAGAATGATAAGTACCTGATACACGCGTGCGAAAAAGCACTTATCTCTTCTACAAGTAAAAAGAGAAGATGTATGTTATATGGATATGGAAGTGAAGTAAATGATTATGAAACGTAGGTAAACTCGTTACGGCAAGATCTTTAAGTACATACACAGGAAAAGATCAAGGCGATCTAGGATTTATCCAAGAATCGTGGAGAATAGACACGAACCAAAAATATAACGACGTTACATGGACAACGCGCGGCCACTGACTGACGGTGAGGAGGTCGCTCCGATTGGCGGGCCTTAATGGCACGCGCAATTTCTCGAACCCGCGAAATCGAGCTAGACCAATCGGAGCGCCCCCTACCGCCTTCATGACCCGGTGATCCGAACGCAGTGGTGTAAAATAAAGGCGCATATCAGCCAGCTCCCCCAAACTCTCTATAAAATCTCTTGATATTTCGTCATGAGAATTATTCAAATAACTACTTATTCAATGTTCCATCCATTCTAAGTCGTATAACTTCGTGTAACAATTAATAATAAAGATTTAAAAAAGAACGTGCATTTACATAGGAGATGGAAGAAAATGGAACACTTTCCTCGAGGGTTGATGACGAAAGGGAATGCAAGAAATGGTTCGATTCGATGATTTCAAATAATATCTCATTCGTCGATAATAGAGGATTTTGAATTGCAAATTCTTTGATCCATCACTGTCAGAAGAGCCGCCTCCGCCACCTCCCTAGCCTATTGATCGACCCCCGAGCAAGCAAGAAAACGCGAGACCAGATGCGCCATAACACCAACAGGCTCCCATGAAAGAGAGACACGTTCGCTGACAGGATTGCACGCGTATTGTCGGGGGGTTGAATCGTTGGGCACCATGCCGACCCCTTGCCGGTATTTGCCTTAAAAAACGACGTAGTACAACGATGATGCCCAGAGAGAGAAAGAAAGTACATCACTTGCCGGGATGTACTTTCTTCGAAATTCTTCCGCGTTATAAATGGTTAAAGTCGAAAGCCGCTCTTTATTTACCGAAAGGGTAAATGAGACGAGGCTTATTTATTCTTGAGCGACACCTCTATCAAGCGCCCTTTCCCGAGGATTATTTTTTTTATGGAGGAAGAAGAAGGGGAGGTCTCGTTAACAGAGAACATTGCTTATAGGGGAAATTAAAAATAACGAGTCGGCGCTCGTGAGAGATTATCAATGACAATTAGTTACTAGCGTTGAAAAATAAATAGATAATCGTAGCTTAATCATGATAGTATTGCATTGTGATCTAGATAATGGCCATGAGCAATGTATATTGATAGAGGAGCAAAAAATAATTGAAGGAAGGAAGAAAAGAAGAAAGTTAAACAACGAAGTAAAACGTCTAGATACAATAATGAATGTGGGATTACATCATGCAAAACAAGATATGCATTTTAATGAGCAAAATATTCAAAATGTAATGCACATGTAATTATATCAAAATTCATAGGAGCACAGAGTACGTTGCCATTGAGCGTTCCTGTGCGTGACTGATGAAGAAGGAAACTGACCTTTGACATTTTAACCAGGGGAATCAGCTGGATAAAACGCTTTTTCAATATTCTCTAATGCAAATCAACGATATTATCAAGCGGATGCGCGTTATGCCAACGAATTCGGCTTATTTGCGAAAGATGAAAGGGAAAGAATGAAATTCGTTTGTCAAAAGAATTGCGAAAAGTTAGTGACAGACTCTCCCTGTGAGTTGGTACAAAAGCGAGCGCCAGATCGCTCGATGGAAGGTAAAAACCATTTCTGCGTCTTCTTTTGTGCACCAAAGGATATATAAGAGATATTTTATGAATAGGCAAGCACGATTTAATTCTTCTAAAAGCTTTAAATGCCAAGGAAAAAAAATCTATTCGGATCGGTGTCATTTTTATCGGCTAGAACGTTTCAACGGATCAGATGATTCTCCGAGGTTAAGGACGATACTCTTTAATTTCAACGAAGAATTTCATTCTGAATATACATGACGTTCTATAAGATTCTGACCCCAAGAAAAAAGAAAATTGAATCAAAATTGACCTTGACGCATCCTTGATAACCTGACTTCTAGTTTTTTTTCCATAAAACTCTGACGACCTCCGTCGACCTATTTTAACCCTCACCTTCAACGACACGCCTATTCAAATTGAGAGAGGACGCTCTTATTACTACATTTGAAAGTTTATTTGAAGAGTTTATTTTAGAGCTGGAAAATTTAAAATCTTTTCAAGATATTGCCTCAAAAATTCACACCTTGTTTGTAAAGAATAGTACATACTAGGTAACGAAGCGTTAAAAAGTTTTTGATAGTCTGACGGAAATATTATGTTCTTTATATGTTGGTAAATGGAATCACTATAGTACATTCTAGTAACAGATGAATCAGGATACACCACCGATTGACGTCAGAACATGTTGAACGAACCTGCTAGCGTGATACGCACATGTATACTATTACGTAAGCAAAAGATTTCTTCGGGCAATGAAAGAAGCGGCAAGAATGTGCTCAAGAAAGAGTTGTGTGCTTGTCCAACGTTGACCTTCTGTCCGAAGATCCACGTGTTTCGTTCGCTGACCAACTTGGAAAGAAATTGGCGACTTTGCGGTTGTTTTATATATCTGGAACTCTTCTCGAGACATCATTAGAAAGACGAAAAACGGTGTTAGAAAACAGGCAAGTACTTTTGTGGCGTTGTTATATTTTTAACTACTGAAATGTTCCAATCGTGTCTTGGATATTTTTTATTCACTCCTGAGATGTGATTTGTGAAGAATAATTTGATCCTTGAACCGGCTAGAATAAATTTTCCAAAAGGTTGCAATAATTATAGTAATATAATATAACGTGGTTTGATTTGGAAAATCTTTATACAATATACTTGGTTGTTAGAATGGCAGAGGTACGTGATATTAAAATGGGAAACGAAGTTACGAGGATCGAGTGTAGTCAGTCAGTAATAATCGCTGCATTATTTTCATTGGTTCACCGGATAAAGCGCATCCGGCCCTTGAATAACGCGTGCGGTCAGGAATACTGTACCAAGCGACTTTCAAGAGGAAATATGTAGAAAATGTAATTATATACATGACTCATTTGAAAAATTGTAATGTAATTTTCAAGGTCTTTTTTTTATTCGTTATGATAAACCACGAAATATTTAAATACTCTTATTGTTAGCGTAAGCTTGCAAATGCACGTTTGTCGACGTATTTTTCGACTGTATTTTTCGAGCCAATGTTTCGAATGGCGAATCGTCACAAAATATGAAAATCTTTTTTATGTCTTCTCTTTTTTTCTGCCTTCTAAGTTAAACATTTTCTCTGTTCTTTGGTTTGGCTGGTTTTTTAACGTTTGGATCTTCTACCTCGTAACCATGTGGAGATATTGGATTTCTCACGGGATTATGGAACAAGGTGTGGTGCCCATCGCCCCATGGAAAAGGCTATAGAAGGAAAATATTTATAAGTCGCTTGTAGGGACGAAACGTGAAAGCTCTTGTTGAAAAATTGGTAGAACGACGTAAAATTATCAAATATGAAAGTATACTCGAGATTAGAAAAAAGAAAAAAAAAAAAACAGAGAAGAAAGTATCAAATTTCTGCGGTGAAGGTAAACGATTTGTAAGACTTCATTAATCGATTACGGAGAATACCGCACAACGGATTACCTTTCAGAGATGTATGAAGCAGAAAGCTTCGGTCAGGCTGAAGAATCAGTACAAAGCTTCAACGTTACGCAAAACTACGCGTGCTTTATCGATTAATTAAAATGTCGAATTTGGTATATTTAGATAAGAGTAATAAAGTTTGAGTATTTTAAGTCGTTACTTAAAAGAGCATTAACATTATTGGAAAAGTATAAATTCATAAATAAGAAAAAAAGGCACCTTAGTTATTCTTCGCATATAAGGAACATCAATGAAGTCAGGCCTCGGTTGTTTTCCCGATTCTTTTACCTTGGTGTAAACGTAACATGACATGCTTATCAGCAGGATCAGCCCGATGGTAGTTATCAATTTCAAAAATGTATCTTGATAGGCCACTGTATTTATAAAACTACATATTACATCGTTAAATAATATGCGAACAATGCAACTTTTAAAATTGCTAGCACATCGCTAAACAGTAAAGATGAAAATTCAACTGTCTAGCTGAAATGAGTCAACTTTTAATAATTTTTATATACTTTTGAGATACACGTGTTATTCAATATGTTGCATCGTGACAGTGTAATGGATTAAAAAAAAAAATGTCTCGAGAACAACATTGCAATTAACGTTCAGAAATATCAGAATTGATTAAAAACGTAATATCGTATGACGCGTTCTTTTCGATATCTTTCTCTTTTCTGTTTTTTTTAAATTCTTTTTTCAAAATCTTATTTCAATAGAAAACTTTACCTTTAGGACAGTAATCTTCTATGTCTGAACAAGGAGGGGTATACTCGTCAAAAATATCCTCAATGGGTGGTTGACATTTTCTCGAAAGTTGAGAACATCCTTTCATGCCTTCGTTAAATTTTGAATCATTGGAAACATCTTGTTCCGTGGAACATCTTGTTGTTTTATCGCAATCGTCTGACTTCAGCTGACTTTTATTGCAAGGAGGTTCTTTGCAAGAGGAATAGTTACGAATGTTCTGGGAACAAAATACTGTTTTGAACAAATCTTTAGACTTCCGTAAGTTTTTACAGGAAGATGGATTTTCCGTGAAAGAATAAAACTTTAACATCGAATTCGACAACTTCTGCATGGATAAACTATGGTATTCCGTCGAAGGACAAAATTCCTTGGAGAACTTCCAAGAATGGTAGATTGGCGCCAAACAGAACTGCAAAAGGATCGACGATCCACTGTTGACCAAGAAAGCACTTCTTTCATTGTGCCTCTTCATTTTATAGCGATACATTTCACAACTCACGTACTTGTTCCTTTCTGAAACGAACTTAACTGAAGAACGTCAGAATCATTAAATTTCTCTTTTAAATGGAAACCATAAATGCTTTCGGTCTCGATATTATTTGTAATAATGCAAAATGTTGACCTTTGTTACGTTAAAATTTAAACCTTGCTAATGCATGCAAAGTCCTGTAACTCAGTCAAAACTAAGATTTCCTACAGTCTCTTGCTACCTATGAATTTTAAACAGATAACGTTGCTAATTTCCTTGAGAAAGAAATGCTTTCTTCCAAATAACTGTTTAAATCAAAGGAAGAAGTAAATTTTAAACACGGTGAACGTAAGCTGCATTTTTAAGAATTTATTCGGAATGGTTTTGTCATGCAGAGTATTTGGTTCTCTGAATAAAATACAGATAGAAGTCGTTACAGAAAATATTGCAGCTTTAGACAAGATTATTTGCTTGCAGGCATTTCATATGTTACAAATTGGTAATGACAAATTAAAAGTTTGAACGGAATATGCCCAAAGAGACCGTTTATTAGAATTTTTAAAAGGAAATTAAATATCACGTATTGTTGCGCCATGTCGATAACACGAACGTTTTATCATGATGTCTTTTTAATAATAACAAGTCGCTTATATTTTCGGGAAAATAAAAATGAAAGAGCTTTATACCTTCATTTATTACGGACAATTTTCTCTTTGACAACTCGTATCTTGAAATATCACTGAAACAAACTTTGTCGCTCCAACAGCGATATCCTGTGTTCCAATTTCTTTTTTTCCCGTTACCAGTTACGCTTACGCTTATTGGAAATAGCATTTCAGTATTCGATTTGATTAATGCAGAACACGTTATTTCATTGACAGACATCGGCGACAAGATGTTTAACCTACACAAAAGCGAGAACATCGCGATGTACCTTTTTGCTGTTCTGTGATTTACCCGTGCTTTTTAGGAGGAAGATTAATATTTGGATACATTTTTCTGGATAAAAAATGCATAACCATATGGGAAAGTGACTTTTAAATCTCGATTACATGTACGAATTCTTTTGTCACTTGAATTCGTCTTCCTTTGTTCCTTCGAGTACATTTTTACGTCTATCAGTGTTTAAAAAATTTGACATTTTTAGTATGAATTCCTTCAGCTAGTCGAAAAACTTTATAAGAATGGTGGACTTCCTTGTTATATGAATGTTTTGAATCAGAAAACATCAAAGATGTGATCCTTGACATGGTTTTTTATGTTATGTCTGTATTTTATTTAATGGACGAGGTCATTTTCACACTTACACTTGTTTATGAAGATTATTTTTCAAATAAAACTCTTTTGTATTACGAAGTAGAATATCGAGTAATGTTTACTCTACATCACCAAACACTGGCATTGACTAAATATTTTATATTTGTTAATGTACAATATTACGTACTCCGTCTTGGACTTTTGTTATAATCAATTAGTATTAACAGAGAATAGTAAATATTTAAATCGGGAAAAATTATGGATTAATTAATTTAATCAATCTTTTTTTTCTGATATCTATATTATACGTAGATCTATTACATGTACATAAAAGAACAATAATTGAAAATAAATGAAAATTGATTCTAAAAGAGCTAAATCTGAGTTAAGTCTCTATTTCAGTTTATGGATAAACCTGAAACTGAAGTGATGCAATGTATTTCTTATTTCAATTTAAATTTGACGAAGTGTTTTGTCTCTTGAGTTATAATAAGAGGTAAGGATTATCCAACAATAGTGAAATGTTTCTCAAGCTCATCTTTTCGAAAGTGCAACAAAATATCAATTTTTTCAATCGAGTTGCATTAAGCGATGATAATACACATCTACAATTTCATTTTCTAGAATGAAGTATAGAACAGACGTATCCTCCGCGCTTATCTTCGTTTCATGACAAGCATCGCGCATCCGGTATACGAGTATTACAGCTCCAGTGACGTTTGCAAATCAACCGTATTTATAGCAGTCCTTCCGCTCTTCTGTTTGTACTCGCTGCGAAGTTTCAATCTCTGTTTCGTGGAAATTCGCGGCACGACTTCACCGATCAACACGCGCTATTCAATCAGGTACGTGTGACATGTATAAACATTTTGTATATCAACTCGAATTGCAAACAATATATCTTACCGAGAGATGCGATATTTTTCACCGACAAACGTGCTATTTCAAACTGTGTAATGTCATCGAATAAATAACTCGTATTTCCATAAATGTTCCCACTTGTCAAGTGTTATAAATGTTTAAAGCAATATTGTTTCATAACGTTTTTCCTTGTACTTTGAAACGTAGTCGTTTACGAAAATATTTGAACACTTGTATAATTCAATTAAATATTTGAACACTTGTATAACTCAATTAAATATTTGAACTTTTGTATAAATTCAAAAATATGCATAGAATATATAGAATATATTTAAAATTTATTATCAATTGCGTTAGTAAGTCTTAACATTTTCTAGAATCATTAGCATCTTTAGTATTAATTACATATATACACTTCTTGTAACTTTTATATATGTATATATTTCCGAATTACTTTCATATTTTGTCACTACAATCGTATATAGTTGTTAATGAAGTTTGTAAAAGTTTTGCATACTGCTGACAATATATTTATTTTTTCTATAGTAGATGTTCAAATACTTTCATGAATCACTGTATATTTTTATGAAAAATTAAGCGCTCGAAAAGTATTTCTATTTAATCAAAGTTCAACATTAATAAAAGTGCAATATCTCGCACAGATAAATAATACTCAGAAATGGAACAGAACTCAAAATGTAGTTTATCGAAGCGCCAGAAAGTCTGGGATTTGTAGAAAGCGGTAAACACGTAATGGTCCGTATATCACTGTTCATGCTAACGTTGCGATATCAGGAACATTATTTTATCATTAGTTTTTGCCGTGTTCTTATGCGCATCTCGGCAAGAAACACGTTCGAGATTTCCATGAGCGATAAATTTTCGGAATTTCCTTCATGAAAATGAATCACCAATTATTGCAAATGTTTCGACATTAATTTTCAAACGTTTGAAAGTGCAACAAAAGAAAGTGAAGTGGAACTGAAACGCGAAATTTTTACTAAATTTTAGTAAGAATTTCAAGTATTATCGTGGTGTGTGGCGAAAGTTGGAAACACAATGCCAAGGAGCGGTGACACAGAAGAACAGATAATAATAATTTAATGTCAAGCACATGAAAGACTCCAGAGATCCATTTCTTTCAATAAATCCATTTCCACAGAAAGCTCGAGATGCCCCAACTTCTTAATGGAAGTTTGAACCTTTGACATTACCAGTCAATTTCCAACGAAGCCTCTAAAATTTTTACAGAGCCAAGTTGTGAACTGAAAGTTTCGGGAGTACGCAGTTTAGATGTGAAAATATCACCGCGTAAGAGATCGGAAAATCTGCTCTCCGCAACTCTCGTTAAAACACAGGGAAAGAAATAATTAGAAGCGTAGCAGATTATTATAATTAACCTATTGATAACACAAAAAAAAAGAGCAATATGGCTCTGTGTTTTTATTACCTGTACATCAGAGATGTAAATTCAGTGGTAATTTTCAGTAAAAAAAAAAAATCTGCCTGGAGCAAATTCACTTGTTCGTCATGAATTTAAATGAAAACAAAATAATTGATTCTCCGACAAGGACTTCGTCTCAATCGATTTTATGCGATGACATTGCTCTGGAATGAATTGCTTCGGAAATAAACATTGGTGAATCTTTATCAACGTTATTTTATTAATTTTCAACACTACGAAAATGTTTGTGAAACTATTTTGCTAATTGCAGTGAATACATACAGTTATATAAAACAAAAAAATTAGGACAAAGCGTTTTCGTGCCAAAGCGAGAAGTGAAATTACGAAGAAAATTGAGACCGGAACGATAGACTAAAAAGCTGACGACAGACTAAAAGGCCACTTCTACTTCTAAAATCAATTACCACAGAATTTTAACTAAAATTCCATTTAACGGAATATTCCACTATTATATCAAGAAAATTTTCTCATACATTCTAGAACAAATGATTCGCATACATATAATAATTTCTGCTTCTCTTAAATTTGAGATTTCATTGATACGATTGAATCTATTTCTTCTGAGAGAAAAGCCATATAAGTATTCTTTGCCTATCGTGCTTGAAGGAGTGCAATCACGAAATGGCGTAAAATGGAAATGATAATTATTGCCCGACGATAGAGCAGAAACAATAGAATCGCGTTCGACTACCGGCTCCTGGAAAACAGGGATACGTCGATGCGCCTTGCGCGGCAACCTTTGACATTTCAAGAGAACGGGTCGAAGTGTTTCCATCCTCCTGGCCTAGGTGTCCGTAGGTACAGCGCATTTTTCGTTGGACCGACATCCGGTCCAGTAAACGTTCGAAAACGAAGGATGAAATGTTCGTGAAAAACATAGAGAAGAAAAAAAGAAAAAAATCGAAGTGTATCACGCGCTAGGAAATACGAACGGTCGCGCGCATTTTCTCATTCAGCTGGCGAGTCGTAATTGGAAAGTTACGCGGAAATCCTTTCGATTTGCGGTGAAGGACGTAATGAAAGTAATCCGGGACGAAAGCGAAACTAGGGCGATGGAAACCTTTTTCCCTGCTGCTTTTTTTCTCTTTTCTTTTTTCTTCTTTCTAACGAATGTTCCAATTTACGTATAATTGAGCGATGAATAACCGGGGGACGAACATGGAATTATTTCAAATACCATCGATACCACCGTTCAGTTTTTAATTCGAAACGAATGCTCCATGGAGTTTACATAGATTGTAAATGAGATTTGATCCGGGTCCTGATACGATCGTAATTGCGAGACTATAGCGTGACTTCCGCGCTTAGGAATAATAATGGGACCTTCTTTGGCCTCATTTTTCCTTGGGAAATAATGAACGTGTCGCATGTTGCACCGTGCCTCATGATACTTGTCTGAATCATTTAGAAAAGATGTTCAGAAAATTAAATTTATTTTAATAGGAATTAAGTCGGTAATTTATAGTAATTTATTGTCTGATTATGCTGAACGTATTCCATTGAAAATTAGTCGTCCTTCATATCCTTTCTCCCCATCAAATTATTATTAAATTTATTTATTTGAATAACGTGGACACACAAATTACTCATTGTCAGTTGTGGAATTATTATCCTACTTATAACTTTATCATGATACGGTAGAAGCGTCGTGAACATTCATAAAAATTCTTAATATCAAGAGAATGCGAAGATGAATATTAATATAAGTAAAATACGTCTTCATAAAATATTCTCTGGATAAAATAACTGAATGCTACGAAACGCATGAAACAACAGCAGAACTAAAAAATATATATATATATATACAAACCAATAAGATACACTAATTTTCAAATTATTGTCACGACAACACACCAAAATAACAATTTAATCCCTAAAATCCAATCGACGTGTGCAAAAGGCCAAATCTCGAAGGACTTAATTAACGCAACAGCTTGAACGGTTGTGTAATTTGCATCGGTACAGCGTGAAAACACTGAACTGGCATCTACCAAATGTCAGCCACGAGGTGAACTTTACCTGTTCGCTTTCATTTGCGATTAATGCGCGAAAAGAAGAAACAGAATCTCTCCTAAAGGGTAATTCGATGCTTGGAAACTGAAACGATTCAATTTCAATATAACAAGAAGGAAGAGAGGACAGGCGTAACGACACGTACAGTCAACCACGATCCACAGAGAATTCCTCTGATTCTAAATAACGGTTCGCCGGAAAACGTAATTAACCGCCTTATTCCCTTCTGAATCGAAACGAGCTGGAGATATCGAGGATTTTTTTTCTCCGATATAAACAACTAAAACAACCATAAGAGTTCATCGTACTCCCTTAAACATATTGACTTCCAGACAGAAATTCCATAAGAGGATTACATTATCCTCATTATGCGCCATCATGAGACTGTTTTCCATTAGCTTCCTTCACGGTTCATTATCAGCCAAGTATATATTACGCTGACATTGAGGTGCATTTACGAACTGTACATGATGCGCTTTATATACAATTAACGAAAACGAATCGAATTAACACATATTAATCACGCATTGGCATTTTACGAGGACATATGACAAAGGTTGCACGTAAGACCGTAAAAGAGTAAAAATAAGAAAAAGAAGTGAAGTATTAAAATGAAGATATGTTGGAATAAGTTTGTAAATGTTATAAAAGTTATCAATTATTATATTACATGAGGAACATATGAGTACATATGTAAGTACTGTGATCTTAATACCTCTTGGAATTCGTGTATTGGCTAACGTAATTAATTTCGCCTTTCTGTGTAAATGAATGCCACCGCCGCAAACCACGTGTCCACGTTGCTAATTGCAATCCACGATAATTAGGAGTGATGTGCCCTAATGAATATGTACAAGCATTTAGAATCGATATTGTATATAACATTTAGAATCAACTCTTGAATGGAAACCAGCTATTCGAGCAATTGAAAAGAATCAAAGACATGAAATTTTTAGAGAATAGATTAAGAAATTAAATTTGAATTTATCAAATCTCAATTTGAATTTAATCGATTGAAAATCTTGAATTTAAATTTAAAAATGAAGATTCTGAATTAAGAAATATCTACGCTGTCGAATTTGTGAAACCGATTGTTCAAGTTTGATCATTTTCAAACATTTGCGAAAGGGTAAGTTTGAATTCAATCAATCGATCTTTCAGTTTGTTGACGTCACTAGTTACGTCACATAGACGAAGATGGAAAACACCTAATATAATTTCAACAACCCTAGCCCTTTGTGGATTAATACGATACAGGAGATAGAAATAGAACTTACATATGTGAATGCATATGACGTATTGGACAAAATTGTTATCATCATTTCTATCACACCCTTCTCTACTACTTTCTTCAATAAAGATTAGATTTTGCGTTTTATTGAATTGCATCAAATTAGGAAAGTTTCATGCGCCCCTAAATATACAAATTTTATTGCAAGATAATGATATCTTACAAAATACGTGCGCGTAAACATTGTTCTTTTATTAACTATAATTTTAATTAATTAAAATGAATTACACGCGATAGACATATTGATCCAAGCATAGATTTTATTAGCTTCTAGTACGGAAATTCAAATTACTATGATGCAAATAATTACAATATGAATTCGAGAAAAATCAATGTTTGAATAGATTTCAAAAAGCGCTTATAAAAGTAAACATTATATACTCATTTTAATTAGATTCTTTGAAAAAATATGCTACAATTAAGTAATGTAGAAGCAAGAGTCAATACTTTTTGAAATTAAAAAATTTGTTAAACATTTAATGTACTTACAAGAATTTTCTCTACAAAACTATCATAATAGTAAAGTTGTTTGGGTATTAATAAAGAATGATTTACTTCTCATTGTTACATAAAATCGTATTATTTCATGCACTGTATGGATAACCTTTGCAACGTTTTCGTATAAGCGGAAATACGTAGTTGGCAATAGATCCGACAGTTAAATTCTTTGAAATACTAATCGATCATGGTTACGATGTGCCGTGTGTATCATGCACGTACATACATACCAATTCAGCGAGAGATTTCAACTAGCCCTCCTTGTTTCCTCCGTTCACTTGTACGATAGTTATTCACATATGCACACATACGAACGAGAGCAATCATAGGCAACTACCGCGATTATCCCATTGCGAGGTGTCTATCGTTTTTGTCTGGTTAATCGCGACAAAGATAGAGGAAAATATGGAGCAGCTCTTCCTCAATCAGTAAAGCAGATTCAACCAGTTCTGATGCGAGTATCGATGCACTTCTTCCCGCGTACAACGATTCAATTTAACAAGGTAACTAGCCATTTCTAGACCTTTCCAACTGCTTGAAACGGCGTTCGCGATACGAAACGACGGCGTACACAGTACGCGTGAACGAAAAGCTGATCTTTTCGATTCGCGTCCCATTCCCATCCATCTGCATATCTAATTTTACGTTGTGTGATCTCTTAACATATTTAAACAAGACGGCAGCTGGCTACCTTCCGTTTTGATGCAGTTGCAGCCCTGTTTTCCGATAAAGTTCCGCCGGATCGCCACAAGAGTGCGCCAACTGCGACTCAATAAAATCCAAAGAGCGCCGGACGGGCGGTGTTCCGCGATGCGTGATGAGTTTGACAGCTCCCGCGTACTGAGCGTTGTTTAAAAGTATAAGAAAAAAAGAGAAAGATCGATCGAGAGATGCGGCTAAGAAAAAGTCCTTAACACGTTTCCGTATGCATCCATGGGAGATTGTCTAATATGGGAGAATGGTTGGTCACAGAATTATCACGCTGATACTCTTTCTGGCAGGTAAGTAACGAAATTCGTTCAGGCGTAAGTGCACCTGCGGATCAATGTGATACTATACGTTCGGTCTTCATGCGCTTGTATACGTACCACCGTGTAAATCTGACTAAGTGCACGATCGTTACGATTCAGGGTCGAGTTATGCAAATTTTACTGTGTATCTCTTTTTCCTGATCGAGTTACGTGATATTTTTTTCCTTTTCTTTTTTTTTTCTTTTTCATTCCTGCGTCCTTTGAACGTTTGATCAAAATCGACGACACAACGACGCAACAATTTGTAATTCTCTATTGAATTTTATTTAATTTCTGTTAGAAATGTGAAAGTTCAAAAAACACGTATATGTTTTTATATTTTATTTAAATAAAATTGTACAAAGTATCGAATACATTGAACGAACGCAAAGTGTAATTTTAACTCGATATTCGAGTGTTTTTTTTTTTTTTTTTCTTTTAGAAAAAGAGGAATTGTCGATCGTAACATTACATACGAATTATTTTGATGCATCTCAATTTTGCAAATCTTATTAATAAATATAAATATACTTTTGTGTCTTATATCATCTTGTTTCATTGTAAAAACTTCTTGAATAATTATTCAAATTAATTTACATCAATTAATTTACGTTTGTATTTTTTTCTGTTAACCTGGGATTACTCATGTGGGGGTCTAGTGCCGGGATGTACCTGCACTAGACCCCTAGGTGGGTAATCCCGGATTAAATATATAATTTTACATAAAATCATTATTACAATAAATCATACAATGTCATTAACTTCGTAATTTAATAATAATGTTTTATAATATTTAGCATGGCACAAAGCAGCAACTTTAGTGCCAGTAAGATCTGTGGCTGTAGATATAGGTCAGAACTTGACATTAGCATGTGCAGAAGAAGATGCATTGCCACAGGCAGGAGAATCTGTTGGAGTGATGTGGATAAGGGAGGGACGGGAGGATGGACAAATTGAAAGACTAAAAGTTGAGCCTAATGGAGCATTACAACTTATTAATGTTAGTGCGGATGATGCTGGGAATTATTCATGCACCTTAGATGATGATCATGATGCTGTCAAAACTAGAATCAGTGTACAAGTTAGAAGTAAGTTACTTAAATTTACATATAATTCTCAAGCAATTGCACATCAAAAAATATTTTATTTTTATTATATTTTTAGCTCCTCCACCAGCTTTACACAATGTATGGGTCAAACCATCAACAATATTGGCAAATATTCTTTGGGAAGTAGCTGGCACAGGTGGTTATCCTATCATAGATTTCACTGCCGAATATCGTCTTAAACCGAATGCAGGTGAAGAACCAGAAGACTGGAAGCCTATTGTTCCAACGCACATTCCTCCAAATTCTGTAAATAGTTTTTCTTTTAATTATCTTTATACTACTATTATTTTATTGTTATTAAAACTGATAACTTTATAGAGGCAAATTGATGTGTATCACTTGGTGCCAAACACTACTTATTCGTTTCGTGTCTGGGCAACAAATCAACTGGGAAGAGGAGAAATTGTTGAGGTTGAAGGTCATACTCATCACAGTATTGAAGAATTAGGTATATAATTCAAATTTAATAACATTACATGATCCTGCTTGTAAACAAATTAATATTTATATAAATACTATTAGCTTATTAATTATAATTGACAATTATTTCAGAACTTGCAAGACATCTCTTAGCAGGTGTAGAAAATTTTGACACTCGTGTCTGGGTGGCAGCAGTAGGCATAGTTATGGGTACACTTATGATTCTTGGTATAGGTACTTGTTACCTCCTCTATCGTGAGTGCAAAGTACCCTGTAAGCATTTCCTGGTAACTTTATCTAAAAGCTTTTGCTTCTACTCTTTCTCTTTCATGCTATTTATTTCTGCTGATGAAACTTATTTCTTCCCTATGCAAATAAATTAAAGTAGAATATGCTAGAGCGTTTAAGTTTGAAAAATATAATATAATTATCTAGAGGACAAGATCTGCAGCAGAAACGATAGCATCACTAACCACTTAACTTATCTATGGCCCTGATCTCTAGCTTTCTTTACGTCAGCTATTTTCCTTTCAATCAATTTAGTGCTATTCTAATACAGTGCCAATTATCTTTCACTAATATTTCCCTACTGCAAGCGCTCTGCAAATTAGCATTTAACGAATTTTCTAGCGTTTAACTTTTAAAATTTATTAGCATTTAATAAATTTTCTTATCAATACCGATTTAACAATAACACTTTCATAACTTTTGCACAAAACACTTTACAACATAAGGCACTAAAATAATCTGTAACATATTTGTATCTTTCTATACAGTTTGCCTGTCAGTAGCACCTTTCTTACTCCTTATAGGAATGAAACCTATAACTTATGAATGAACTTTATCAACCACCAAACTTACTCTGTCTATATAAAGAAATTTTTATTTTATTTTTTCATCTAACTTTGTTGTGTTTTAAATTAATAAACTTTGGTGGTTTGTATAAAATTTGTTATGCAGAATGATTAGTGTCATGAATAGAAAGTATTGTGATAGTGATATAGAGCATTATGGCCTAGATAATATTATGTGCTATTAGTACATCTTTGACTGTATAAAATTTAGGTCAAAGTTAGCACAAATATATTTGCTGGGTAAGCAGTGTATTTAACAAGTGAAAGAAATCTTAATATATCTGCATTGATTTATTATATTTACTGTATTTATTATATATATATAAATTTTAAATTGAATATAGAATATTTGATTGTTAATATAATTTATTAGTTATTTTAAAATATTTATGGCCCAGCAAACACTGGTAAAGGGAGAGGGTAGAAGCTAATATAACTCGTGGCCTAGGCCAATGAAAATTAATCTCCGTTCCCAAATTGCAGCGCAGCTGGAGGAGCAGGAAGTGATTGAACTTGTACCTAATATCATTCTGAATCCAGGATTTTTCGACGAAAGAACAGAACACATTCCACAAGATGAAAATTTCAATAACCAGACCACTACACGCTTAAACAATAATAGCGTTGTGCAACCCATGCGACTTTAGCAATTAACTATTTAGATTTCTGTGGCTAATTTTTATTAACAAGTGGCTTGAGCACACATTTATGTGTCACCTTAAACGTAAGTAACTGGAATTACAAGAGGCCTCAAATCCGCCAAGTATCGCAATGCGTAGAATCAGATAAGCGATGAAGATTATAATCATCGCGAAAATGGAAATTTATGTTTATAGACAGAAAATTGAGAAATGCATCATACATTCCGAATATTCTAAGGAAATAAATTTTTCACTTGCAATGTAAAGTGTTCAAAGCATATGTAAGACTCTGCTAGGTTTTGTGAAATCGAGTAGCACATTTTTGAGAATATTTACCAGGATGTTCTAACAACTAAAATTCGATATTGTTGCTCAGTTATCGAGCTTAAAGTCAAGGACTCCTGTAAGCGGAAAAAAGAATATTCTTAGTAAGACTGTAATTCTAAGAACAAAAGACAAAATTTTGAAGAAACTAAAATCATACGACATTATTATTAAGCGGCAAATATTTGTCTTATGTTCTGCATGAACACATGTTTTTTACGCAGTTATTTTTAATCATTACCATTGAACAGAAATGAGATTTTAACGGACAATATCATGCAGAAAATAAGACTTTTGCCAATAACGTACATCATCAGATTTTGTCAAACACGAGGTATGATAAAGGCTTGCTTACTGCCGTTTTAAGGTGTGCAGAAGTCGTTGGTAAAAAAGTTCCTTTTTTGTGTCTTTATAAAAATTATTGTTTTTTTATTTATTGTTATAAGAATGCACTTATTTTTTTAGAAAATATTTTGGTAATGTTTTCTTCCAAAGAAATTAATGTAATAGGAGTCAATGCACTACATGCTCTTTCTGGAAAAATCCTGTGAATCAGAGAGTGTACAAATTATAGTATTCTAATTATAAAACTGATTCTACTCTGTTAATGTTATTTCTAATAATATTATATTCTTCATATTTTTAACTTTGCATGTAATCATTCAAATGTGTCTAATGCTTCAACATGCTTTTGCACTACCTTAATAACAAATGCAATATTCACTGCTATTGAATTATAAAAAATTATAAAATCTGATTTCATCAAAACTAAATATGAAATAGCACAATTTCATGAATAATAAGTACATAAACTTTCTAGAAAAGTAAAAAAATACAAATATTCATTGAATTTTCATAATATTCAGCACATAAGAATTATTCATAATCATCACACATTTGGTTAAATTCATTCCATTTAGATTAGTGGTAAATATAGAACAAGAGTAGAATAAGTTAAAATATTTTGGATATCACCTTTGATAGAATCAAGTTTGATAATCGATCGTTGAAACAGATCTTTTCCAGATATTCATTTTTTTATGAGAAATATCGTCTCAAATTGCATACAAAATTTAACTTAGTCAATCAATAAAGGTTGATGATTTTGATAAAAGTTCTTCCTGTACAAACAAATATATAGTTATTTTCCACAATTTACACGTAGTATCATATCAGAATTTTGTCATTATGTAAAATACATTATCAAGATTGTAATAGTGAATGCTTAGTGTTGAGACTTTCCTTAGGAAAAAATAAAAAACAAAATACGTTTGAATTTTTTGGATGAAACATTTCTCAGGAAAGAAACCAATATATTCATTTACGTTTATTACATTTTGTTGATTAATTTTGGTTAGGACACCTTAAGTAATGAATATGGAAATGGTTGTGGAAATTGATTCTCGTGTATTAGTCTTTCATGTGTTACTAGTAAAGCTCATAACGTAAGAAACATAATACCTTAATGATTCTACTTAAAACAATTATATAAGTTAAATACTGCTTTTGTCAATATAAGAATCTGACAAGAAGCAATTTGGTGCACGCAGGTTGTATAAATATTGGTTGTGCGTTGTTACATTGAAGCTTTATGATCTGTTCCTCCCTGCAGTATAATCTTATAGGGGTGAACAGATTCAATTCGGCTTCGTACTATGCACTCTGTGTTGTGAATGGTATATATACGCGCTAATGAAAAAATAATATGATAATAACAATAATGATAACAATATAAATATATATATACATATATATTTATATAGCCGAGGCATCATAATATTTTAGCTATAAGCAAAGACAATTTTTTATATAAATAATAATAATGCTGAATTGCAATGATGAATATTTATCTACATATTCATATAGATAATTTTGTGCTATAATATCGAGCTTCAAGAGTGATCAAGTAGATATGCTCATTAAGAGTATTTCATGTAGAATAATCATGTTCCTCATTCCATTTAGAAGAGTTGTATTTTTTCATCTTCTGTTTAAAGATTGTATAAACAACCTTCATGTTTACAAATGCAATACTTTTGAAAATTATTAATAATACATCATAATAACTGCAACCTTTTTTTAAGGATAACGTTTTTTTTTCTTTTTTAATAATTCAGCAATAATATATCATATTACTTTAAAATACGACTCTTCATATGTCATGCACATTCAAATAAAATTATAATCACTTGTTTCTGCTGACATATATAACAATAGGTGTATTGTAATTTAAATATGTAACTGTCTCTATCAAAGCTGTCTGGTGAAAGCATAGGTTTTGCATTTAGCGGCATTAATATTGTGAAGCCTGATAAAAAAAAGAAGTATAAATGTTACTTGATATATGAAATGAAAAATTATTCTTATAACTATCAGCTGCTATAAAAACTAATAATAAAACTTAGTCTTCTGGGTTTAGAATTCTGCCATTGTATACCATTAAAAGATTCGCATATCTACCTATGCAATATAGGACATTCATAAAATAACTTCGATTACATTAGGAGTACAATCAATAAAATAATATCATTAGAATCAAGAGTAAATAATAAGATAATCATTCTTTCTTTTTTTAATAAAATAATCAATATTTTCTTAATATCATGTAAAATACTTGTTTTTTTTAAACAAAATATTTCGAATTAATTACAATAGTAATGTTAAAATCAAAAACTCATTGTTAACTTTAATTTCATAAGCCAATGTTTTTATCTTCCTATACCAAGAAATTGTCAGATATTATAATGGTGCAAAATAGATATATTTTTATGAGGTAGAATACAGCATTGTAAACTTAAATCTATGACTACAATGATAATGGCAGATATTTTATGTTCATATCATTCCTATTGTTAATCTGTTAAGTATAATTCAGTTTGCTTTCCCTTTCATGTAATAGTTCCTTTCATTTAATTTTCTCTGACATTGATAATCATACATCGTTCAAATACAAAAGCTATTAAGCACAACAATGATGTGCATAGCATTTATCATTATACCTTTATAATTAAATGTATTACATTAATATATTTACTTCACATAACACATTCATGTGAAATATATATTAAGAAAAGCACAATACCATAGAATAGTATAATGGTTGCTGGTGGCACCATAAATCGTCCCTAACATACATATTGCTTGCCTATGACATACCAGAAGAGAAAAAAATTTTATGTGGTTTTTACAAAAAGTTTTAAATTGGTACTACTTTTTAAATAAAAGATTGATTTTGCCATATGAAATTTTACATCATGTAAAATTTTACATTATGTAAATATCATACAAATATTTCTAAATTCTTCACTTTTTGTAAAAACTACGTATCTGTCGTGTCATTATCTATTAGATTAATGATATTAGTTTAACATCCTTACATTAAGTGATGGTGAAAGAGATTTATCATTATAATGATATCTCCATAAATAATATTATAGCAAATAAGTATTAATCTCGCTAAGATATTCAGTTATATATATATATTAGCTGCAGTTATGTATTAGCTTTTAGTGATTTCTTTATATAATTATTTATTTTGTAAAAAAAGAAGTGAAAAGCACAAAAATATGTTAGCACCGAAATTTGTATATAGTATATACATTATTGTTTCGTTTCCATATTTTGTATAAATTGTTAAATATGCATGCTTGATTAATTTACTTTATTTATGTTAAATATATATCGTATCAGATTAAAAAATCTAATAATACTCCATATGTGTGTGCATAAAGAATTGTTCACGTTGAATCGACGTTATTTTAGTTTTAATTTATTGTATGAATTCATTTTATTATCATTGTACACCGTTATAATGTATAGAAAAATGTTTTCTTAATATTGATATGTTCATAATTTATTTTATAGACTATGAACAGTGCACATTTCATCACGTACAAATACTATATTGAAAGAGAAAAATATGAAAATGTATCATGCTTCGGTTAAAAATTGTTTAAGTATTTTTGTGGGAAAAATAAAGAAAGTCAAGGTTGTGCTTGAATGGTTGATACTATCATTAACTAGTATTTAGCTTTCATACTACAATCAGAAGACAAACATTAGTTACATATCAAAGAAGATAGAACAAATTAGTCACTTCTTTCACTTACATACCAATTGCAATCATCAAATATCAACTATTAGCTGCTATATGTATTACGTTAAGTTTTATAACAGCTTTTACAGAAACGTAAAAAGATTTTTTACAGAAACATTAAGATGTAAGTTATAACTCTAAGTTCATGAAAACAATTTCATTTTCTCATCTTACTATTTTATCAAACTATGATTTATTCATTGAATGACTGTACATTATTAAATTGCAATCGGAATGATACAAATAGTATGAAAAGTTAAGTACATTTCTTTTAAGAGTATTCATTAATTGTAGTATTTTATGCATTTTTATTGTATTTATAAAGCAGTATACACGACCAGCATACTTAATAATGTATGTACTACATATAGTTCTAATTCTACATTTTTATCAAAATGGTTGTCACAATGGTTGTCATTATAATCATCATATTTCATATAAGAAATCATACAGATTTATTTATAAAACTTAATACAGATATTGGTACAATAAATAAAATCATTCATAACATTTGTTATTTCTTTTATTATAATTAATCCATATTACCAGATTGAGTTAAAAGCAAGGTTTTTTCAATATCTGAGCATAATTTCTTAATATCACTAAGTGGAGCATATTCTGCTGCCAGAATAGCAGTTGCTATTGCTATTGTTTCTTGGATAGTTCTTGCTTTGACCCAAACTCTACCATTCATACCAGCTGCAACTTCAAATGCTTGATTACGTGCAAGCATATTGAACAAGGGGGAATTGTGATTCAATATCTTTCTGATAAGACTCAAAGAGCAAGTAAAGAGCATGCCTTCAGAGCTTAAAATACCTAACTTCTTTTCTTTACCATGAGAATCTACACATACAAGTTCTGGTTCCATATCTTTACTAGCAACTAAAAGCTTGGCAAACACAAGGTCTCCAACTTGAATGTCAGGTCGGTTTTTCTTCGTAGCTCCTTCAAATGCTAGATATGAAAGAGATGCTTGTTCACTGGCGCCTATATCCACTTTAAAAATATCACCACCTTTCTGTGTTACTATGCCGACTACATGTTCTCCACGGTTTGGTACATAACTGTAAGAAATAAATATTAGAGACTTATTAAAAAAATGTTAGATTACTTTAAAATAGAACACAATTACCGTTTCTGATAACTATCTACATAATATACAGCTGGTTCTGTTTTCTTTAGTACACCTGCTTTGTACGCATATACTGTATCAGCTTCGCGACGAAGTCCAGGTCCTAAAATGATTGTCTCTTTTTTGGTAATTGTTGTAATATCTTTTACAGTATCACCAGGCATTACTACATCTCCTATACTAACTTCCATTGCTTCTTAGAAGTGAGTGATTCCGTTTTCGTGTTGCAATATAAATTCAATATTATTGTAGGTTATAAACATATCATTTATTATCTTTTATTACAGAGTAATTAAGAGTCAATGAAATTATCTATAAACTATAAAGTATTGCTTTCATTGAAGTAATTACAGATATAAGAAATTGTAAATAATACGTTCGATTACATTCTATTGTACACGTGCGTTACTTCATATGACAAGCTGTGTTTTCTGCTATTCTCGCGCGTTTGTTCGAACGACGAAGCGACTGCGCAATACAATTTACATAAATTATTGCAATCAGTTATGCAAGAATTGTTATCGATATTGTGAATGTACCGATGTAGAAAATAAATGTTATTTTATCTTTAAATCCAAAGTTGTCCAATTTAATGTTGTAAAAAAAAAATACTGTTTAAATCAAATTGCGAAATGTACAACGCAATTTTCCTGTTTGTGCGCCTATGTCTCCGCAGTGACGCCACCATACGGCACGTTACAAGGCTGCCGCGTGAAACGGTAACGCCACAGAAATCACGGTACTAGTTGTGTTTTTTTCCGAATTGGTTTCATTTTGAGACGAGTTTAAAAATCGACAGTTACGTGGATGGGACAAGATCATCGGTGGTATCACTAATGTAAAGGTAATCTTGCCCGACAACGCGAAGTAAATGCTCGTGAAATTTGCGCAACGTTCACCGGATCGATAATTGATTTATGTGCGTTCTATTCTAACCTACCTTCCCGTTCTTTCCAAAGTTATTAGTTTAATCATGTCATATTGTCGATCGATTCGCCGCGATTTGGTTAAGATTTCATGCTGAACACTTGGAAGAATTCCGTTAATATATTCTGTTCTTCTACTAAAGATGATCTTTAGTCAGGTTTCTAAATTCTTAACCAGTATGCTTATTGGTACATTTACTGTCATTCATTATTAAGATACACATTAATCTGTATTAAGTATAAAAATATTCTTATGATCCTAGAAGTCAATAAGAATATATATACGTATAATGTCATTTCTTTGAGATATTTTTTTATGAAGTTTTGCTTTAAAAATTTTTAGTTTGATATAACAAATATGAATGAACATATTTAATTATCCAGATACAATTATTATATCACTTATATGATATTTTTAACAATTTGTTTATATAAATTCATTTCTATCAAATATGGACTTGCTTTTTACTATTTGCATATATTAATAAATTATACTTTAGAATCTTTTCATATTTTGTGGTTGCAGGTATAGTGCAAAATGTACAATGGAATTGGATTACAAACACCGCGGGGTTCGGGAACTAATGGTCATGTCCAAAGAAATTGGGCAATTGTACGCAAAACAAAAGACAAAGTTACTTACAAGACAGATGAAGGAAAATTAGATCAACTAAATAAACAACCTAACAAAGATATTCTTGACCATGTTAGAAAAAGGAAAGTTGAAGTCAAATGTGCAGAATTAGCAGATATTTTAGAGGAACAAGGGTAAGTATATATATATATATAATCATCCTTATTATATCCCAATATCATCTTTATAATAATATTATACATAAATCTATTATTGTAATGTCATAATTAATAGTTAAATGAATATTTGTTAAAAATAAATTAAAAAATCACATACACATTGTGTACGAAAGAAATATGAAGCTTCATTGATCCCTTGAACCCAATACCAAATGAGATTCTGAACTTCAATTGGATTTGGCTTATCGTTGGCTTCAACATATTCTTTCTATGCAGTGCATTACTTGACTAGTCCGCTAGCTATAATTGCATAAATGCTAGTATTCTTTATTTGCTTTTTTACTGTGCTTTATAGATTTACATCTGAGGAAGTAACAAAGAAAGTAGAATCATACAGATCCATGTTAATGGGAACTGACACCAAACCAGTAATATCTAGAGATGAATTTGGCCGTGTAAAGTAAGTATATTTTCTTTCATTTATTTATTTCCTACATCCTGATATAACTACCATATCGAAAGTAATTAAAACTCTAAAATAAATAAACAGAGAAAATGTGCCGTATTTCTTAAACGATATTCTAGGAGCAATTTCATATTATAAAATTAAAATGATATTCCATGGTAAATGACAAGTAATATCAGATTTTCTTTATTTCAAGGATATATCCTTTATTATCCTTTATTTACGAAATTATAAATATAATTCAAAATTACGAACGCAATTGCAATCTGGATTTCCGTGTAACTAGCCTTTATTTCAAATTCGTTTTAAAACACGCGGACTGCAAAATTCGAAGATTTTAATTTTTCTTGCCTCGAGGCAAGAATCTAATAGCTACGGCATCTAAAGTTCGTGTAAACGTAATGTTGAAGCTGCAGCGGCTTCTGATCGGTAGCTCAAGTTCCCGCTAAACCCAATATTATTGGGGAGTGGAGACGTAGCCGCGTTCTCTCTCTCGAGACGGCTTTCAGGGATATTATGCGACCGATATCGACGTATCCTATAGCGCCGGCGCCACCCACGAAAAGAGGGAGATACAGAGGTGCACAGAAAGAGAAACAGAGATACGCAAAGGGTCGAGCCAGAGAGAGGGAGGGTTCTGTTCCAGCATCTCTCATACTCGACTCTTTCCGCCTCAGTGCGAGGATGGACCGGCGTTGCGACGCTACGCGTCGTCGACTCTTGTCGAGTACACGGATCGTCGGCCAATAATCAGAAGAAAAAAATTAAAAAAAAAAAAAGAAAAAAGAGACCAAAAAACAGGAGGGAACATGTAACGGTTTCGTGATACACTCGCAACAAAGCAAATCACAAAAGTCTTCCATTAGCGTGTAGATTATTATATACATACATATATATTATATATTATATGTTTTAATTTAATCGTAAGTGATCGATCGGCGTGTAATGTGTAATTTAAGGTACGTAAATTGAATTTGAAAAAAAGAAGAGAAATCTCTCGTGCTCGTATATTAATTCATTCTTAATAATGAAATTTGAAAACGCACATGTTCCGTATAAATACGCACATCTATTATAAAATTTGCTAAATCAAGAAAATCGTATTGAAAAGAATAAAAGGATAAAAGGAAATTCGAAAATTCCAACGCAGAGGGCTGGCACGCGAGAAGATTTAACAGAAGAGCATAAAATCTCCACGTGTCTAGAATCGATTACAAGAGAAGAGAAATCAGAAAATTTAGATGGGATTCGAAATTTTTCTATGATAAAAAATCCACGTGTCTCCAGGTCGATAAATCGACGATAATTAATTAAGGCGTCTTGCTTCTCTAACGCACTCGGTGTGCATGAGTCGAAGTGTGGCGACTATAGTGTGCCTGATACGAAGTCTTCCTTAGTGTGTAAGCTAGAATAAAATTACGATATTCCTATATTCTTACACGAGTCGCTAAGATATATCTATATCTATACAATATACATACGTATTACTAATTATATAAACTTACAAAAGTTTCGAAGAAACAGTTTTAAGAGAAAATACTTACAAAAAGTTTTTAGAGAAATCAACGTTAAGCAGGTTAATTTCTCAAATAATAAGCAAAAAGTTAGTTGATTCGAGGAGAGAGTGGTTTCAACGACGATTACTATTGGGAGAAACAATCGATCAAGCGACGAAAAATTTTCCTCGATGAACAAGGAAAGATAGGAACAGAGAGAAAAAAAGGGAAAAGAGAAGGAAAGAATCCAGAGACGAAAAGTGACGTTTTCATCATCGCCGCCGGATGATTGTTCTCGGTAGGATAGCAGAATCTGTGAATACGGTGCTGGTGTAATCGGGGGAGGAAGCCATTACCTTCGCCTCCAGCCCTCATCCCCCTTCCGGCCGCCTAAACTATCAAAGCCTGGCTCGAGAAAGGGATTAAGCTGCATCGGAACTGCTCGCACGCCCGTCGCCCGACCGGCAGAGCTCCTTAGCGTAAATTAGCGGCCGATCGTGCTTAATGCTCATCTAATTACCCGGCCGTAAATTATTCAAACCCATAGTTTGTCCTCCAGGGTTGCCACTGGCTGGCCAAGCAAATTACTCGATAAATGAGATGAAACTTATTGGCAAGCGTATTGAGAAACGCGTAACACGTTATTATAAATCTTATTATTAAAAAAAGAAGAAATCTTATAATATGTTATGTCTGGTAATTTGGAAACATTTATGCATTATACAGAATATGAAAGAAACTTGGAACAATTATCAAGATGTATTTTAATAAAGGGATCAAAAAAAAAAATTGATTACAATAGAAGAGAGAATTCGCAATAAGATTGAAATTTCAATTATATATATATTATTCATTGAAAAAATCGAGAAGAAGGAGAAACTTTTCTATTAAGGATTTCGAAACGAGGAATGACCATGTCTGTGACGGTAGCTCCTTTGAAACCAGCTCGTGGACGAGGTCCGGCTGATGGCCGAGCATTTTTCGAAACACTCTGGAGAGGGAATTTCTTCTTGGATAGACAGAAGGTGATGAAACGATCGCGAAAACGAAAATTGCAAGCGGCAAATGGAAAAAAGCGTGCACAGCTGCAGATGCGACAGCATTGTTGCTGCTGTCAGCGCATACAACTCCACCTCCTCGCCGGACGGCGAAGCAACATGCGCTCCGTTGTTAGGTGAATTTGTCATAAACAGTATTTCAATCCTTTCTTTCGTGTATTAAGCATATAATTTTTTCCCTACGTTTTTATAGTCGACTTTTCACTTGTGTCTTTTTAAGGTACAATCTTCTTATTTTGATAATTTAATAATTAACTTTTTATTACGATGAATGATGTATTTTTAAAATTTTTTCTGGCTTTTTCCATTTATGAAAATGTCTTTTTGAGATAGAGTTTCTTTAATTTATGAATCCTATTTAATGAAATTTTCATGGAAAATGATGAAATATTGGAGGAATCTTTTTAAACGTGAATCTTTCATTGAATGTAAAAATTAGTTTCTAGATCTTTTCTTTAAATTTCAAAAAATATCTTTGCTAAATAATAATTTTCGTAAAAGCTTAGAATGATTTCATTGAAAAATCTGAATTAACTTCCCCCCAATGTTCGTGGGAAAGTAGAAAGGATAAGTAGAGAAACTAGGTTTCTCTGACCACAGATTATCGTCTCTACTTATATACAGATATTCGATACCTCATACAGTTTGATAGAATCTAAGAAAGTATTTCTTTACTATGTTTTTCAAACATTCGAAAATTTTTTTCAATAATTCGAAAATTTATCTACAAAAATTCTAAAATAATAATTTTTAAATATTAGTAAAAATACGATCAACGAGAGATCAAAAAGGCAAACTCTCTTTGAGTTCTGTTTGGGGATGACTCATATTGTTGACCCCCAATTCCTTATGAAAGGGAAACATTTCCCTGTAAACAACTGTCACCCTTTAACACGCCATGAACGTCAAAAGTAATTACTTTTATCACGTACGTACAACAAAGAGAAAAAAAATGATTTAAAAATATTTTATTCAATAATTAAAAAATGAATTCAATTTTCTATCTTAGAAAAAAAAGGAAATATTTATAAAATACTTAATCTTCGAAACAACTATCCAAATATCTATATTATTCAATTTCATTATGCATAACGAGAGAAATGACGTAAAAAAAAAAAAAATTATTAAATATCTAATTTTGTAAAAATTATTACCAAAAATTTACATTGTTACAAATAAAATCAACCATCCAATTCTGAACCAGCCTGGTAAAGGGTGACAAAAATAGGATAAAATATAGAGGAAAAAGAATAAAAATTATTTGGCCGTTTGATCTTCGTTTAGCGGTACTTCGCGAGTGGTTGGCTGCTGAATTCGAGCGTGTAGCAAGCGAGTAGTGGCGCGAAAGGGATAGCAGAAAAGAGAACAGCTGGATTGTATTGATCCGCGCTCGAGCGTTGGCGTAGGGGTGGCTCGGCCGACCCCGGCCTCGCTTGCTGCTTTTCACTCGCGGGGTAGAAGAGGGGCCGCCTCGATTTCTCCTCGGTATAGTCTCTCTCTTCGGTGTTATGTCACTGCCTTGCCGCATTGTCCGGACGGTTCCATCGACGTTCGCCAAGGCTACACCGGAGAACACGCCGTTCACCATCTCCACCGTCCATCTCGCTATACGCTCAATGGATCATCGCGAAATTCCGCAGAATTAAAACTGGCCCACCAAGCGCGACCGTTGACCGCGCGACGATGACGGTGAAAATTTCAACGCGGTACGAATTTTCCTCATTTCATCCCTTCTCATCGCGCGATCAGATTCGATTGGAATATCGAAATAGGTCATGTTACCTGTTTTCGTCCCTTCCTCCTCGACGTGTGTTTATTTTTATTCACAGCACAGTTCCCTCATCGGATTTTCCTTATCTCGTGTGAAAACGATATCTCGACGAAAGGAGAACATTCTTTACATTGGAAATATTCTTGTGTGATTTTTGAAAGGGTAGATATGATGGCCACGTGTTTCTAGGTTTACGTTCGAACTTTCGTGGCGTGCGGGTCAACGTGTTCGCATATGGTTTAGTAGTTAAAGTTCTCAGTGTCTCTGAGTGATTACCGAGTGATTGTTAACATCTGACAAAAGTTCTTCTTCTCAGTTAAGGGATTTTTCACTAGATTCTTAATATCGGTCACCGATCGAACCTTTATTATCGATCGTTGTGATTATTCATTGCTTGGATCGCGAGTAATTTATGTGGTACAAAATAACTTTATTATTGATTTACTATTTATTATTTGTCTGGGATAATTTACATGATGGGAAGTGACAATGCAATGTGTACGTTTTCTTGCAGTGTAAGAGAGACGCACCAGATCGCCGAGGCGCAGCAAGAGAAAAATGCAAAGCTACGCGAGGCATTTGGGATATCGGAGTTCTTCGTAGAGGGAAGTAGCCTAGATCCGGAGAGGCACGCACGCGAGGCGGAGGCAAGAGCGGCGGCGAGCAAAGTGTATGAATTAGTACGAACTCCGAGTCCAGCACCGGACACCGCGTCCGTCCCGGAGAAGAAAAAACGAAAACGGTCCGGTAGTGCAATTAAAAAGAAAAAGGGAAAGAAGCATAAGAAGGAAAGGTAAAAGACAACGTAATGGTGCACGGGTCAATGGAGGCTGGATTCGATGTTTTGATTTATCCGCCAATATAAAGATAGATGAGATAATGTAAGTGCAGACGAAGAGAATTATCGTAGTTATATCTACTACATTGTACTATGGTATATTAAAAAATTGGATATATATACTGTATACTATAGCGTAGCAGTAGTACTATAACAGTATACTACAGCATACTATAGTATGGTAGTAATAAGATAGCGGTATTTTGTTCGTTATATTATAGTGCAATGTAATGATATATGTTATGTGTGGCTTGACTTATTTAAGCAGAGAATTCGTATCGTTGTATGTGAGAGAAAATGTACACGAATCCAGGCTCCAAGACCGAACGAACATCCCCCCGTAGTGGCTCCTCTCCTGACCCTCGGTTAATTATTCATTTACCGCAAGTTCCACACTCGTTCATTTGCTTACTACACACCTCTTGTCAGATACTGACTCATGACTCACCTACTATTTCATGTCCCATACACCTTTCTCTGTTTCAAACAGAACTGAGGAGGACTGAGTGCCTACCCAGTAGGCTCAGTAGGTAAGTGTGGTCGTCGCGTCTACTTTCCAAAAAAAAAATAATAATAATAATAAAAAAAATTCTTAAAATTTTTAAAGATCGAAAAAATAAGAAACGATGTAAAATATCTGTATTGAGAAAAGAAAAGAAAAAAAAAAGAAAAGACTAATCGAGAACTAATACTAATATAATTAGGTATTTGTTTTAATAGGCATAATAGAGGGTAAATGTTTGCTATATTGCTGGAATTCCTGTAACATTGACAATTAGCAATTAGCAAGATTTTCATTGGATATAATATAATGTCAGACACAGTGGGCAAACATTTACTTGCTTTGATATTATACAAAATATACGGGTTTAAAAAAAGAAACAAAAAGTAACGTTATACGTAATCTGACGCGTAAATCATGCATTTCTATCTTTGTTGTTGTTATCGATAAAGCTTGTTGTTAATGTCATCTCTCTATTTTTTTCTGACAAGTCCGTCCCTATCGATGGTTATCAAGGTAATGCTAATCCCATATTATATCAATACTCCTCATATTTTGTATACTCGTCTTTTGTAACTTTGAAAGATTTGGTTTTACATAACGGGCAATGTCCGGTGATCAGTTAAAAAAAAAAAAAAAAAGAAATTTGCGAAACGTATGAAAAACTAAATCTTTCAAATGAGTGATTATGTAGTCGGTTTGTTAGCTATAGCCCGATATTGTGACTTTCACCTGTATATGTATCGTTGTACTTATATTTTTTATTACTTAATTCACTTGGGATTGCAGTGAAAAATTAAAAAGAATATATTTATATATATATGTATCATTTTTCGTTTCTTTTTTTTTTTTCTATATCGATATGTGATAAAATGTTTATACACTGCATTTCCTATACATATATATATATATATTATATATGTATATATCAGCATATGTTAGTTTCCATTTTCTTAAATTGAATACCTTATCCAGATGCAATGAGATAGATCAGTTCAAAAATTTCGTCGGAATTATGCGTTATTAACTGCTAATTTTTCCGAGTTTCTTACTTTTTAATCGAATACGTTGACAGCAACAGGTAGCTTGTATCATTAGACTAAAATATTTGTTTCACACACGGATACATTGTACTACAGCTTTCTTTATTGTCAGCACAAGGTATGCACTTGTCGACAGGAAGACGCCCACTGCAAGAATTAAAAAAAAAACTAAATATTATTAACGAAAAAAAAATCAATTATAGTTGTCCATAATGAAATCTTTATAATAATTGTGAACGAATTTCCTAGGTCGGAATCACCGAAGGCTAGCAAGAAGAAAGAAAAATCTAAAAAAAAGAAAAAGGAAAAGAAACATAAGAAGACTGAGGCTAGTTCTTCTGACAGTGATTCTAGTGAAGCTTCAGATGATAGCAGGTAATATAAATTTTTGAAATTTGTATCTTTTTATCTTATTTAATGTATTATATATAACTGCACATATTTTCAGTTCTTCCGAAACTGAGTCAAAGAAGAAAAAGAAAAAGAAGAAGAAGAAGTCAAAGGCAGAGGCAAAAGAAAAGCATGAGGTAGGAAAAAATGATGCAAAGGAAACAAATACAAAATTTCTATCTTCCTCTCTTTCTATACATATACATATATTTATAATTATATATATATATATATATCTATACTATATATACTATATATACCTTAGCACGTGAAACAGGAGCATGTGACATATACTTTTACGTTCATTTTTTCTCCAATTAGTTGTTAATTGACCATTGGATTTTATAAGATATTTTTGTGTTGTCGCCTAACTTTGAATAAGCATGATTCATTGCTTGTTTCTGTAAAGATTTTTATCTGATTTCAAGTTAACAGTCATTATTTCAAAAGTGTAAATCTCAGTATTGTTTGTAATTATCAGCGCCATTTGACAGGATATATTCCCTAAGTGAGTACCAGATATGCCGCTACTCAATGTAATAATAATTTTGTAATTTTTCTATTACGAATTTTTGCGATTGTTGTTGCCTTTTCACTCGTTTTGTGTCAAGCACCATCACATTTACAAGAGAATAAACGAATAGGAGACTGCTTGTTCTCTGATCTAGGTGCAATGCAGAATAATAATTGAAAAAACCTTACATAACTTTCACATATAAACTTCTCCGATTTCTTTTATTTCCTCGACTATGTTACTTTTGCCGACATATTTTAATCTTTAGCCGAAACACTTTTTTAATACTGAATATTTGTACTAGAGCGAATGAGCAGACTCCAAAGAATCTTTGAACAATTACGATCTCTTTTTTTATCCTACTGACAAGTATAATACATATGCATGATCGGTGTACATTAGATAACCCTGTCTAACATAATAATCCGTACTGTTCTTCTTCTAGAAGAAAAAAATAGCCGTCAAGAGGAAGCATCAGTCATCCGAGAGCTCGTCAGATAGGTAAGCTTCAAAGTGGAAAGTTTTTCTGATAAATTTGAGAAAATCGGATAATTCAATAATTTGTTAATTTGATGTCACGTGCAAATTTGTTGAATTTTCAGCTCTCCGGAAAGGCCGAAAAAGTCTATGAAACATGACAAAACTGTAGAAAAAACTAAGAACGACGAGGCGGAGAATACGACTAAAGAACCTCGATCAAATCGCTCACCAAAGAAGCAAGAGAAAAGTCGGAATGAAACTCCTCCTGTTAAAAGGAAAGATTCTCCTATCAAAAAACCTGCGCCAGAGAAAAAGGATAAATCACCGGTTGTGCACAAGAGTCCTCCGCCAAGGCGACATAGATCTCCCTCAAGAAGTAAAGTTGATAGAGGAAGGTCTCCTAGAAGATATTCAAGATCACGTCGAATCAGTCCTTCCCCAAGAAGGAGGAGGATTTCAAGATCTCCAAGAAGATACAATAGATATTCCGTATCCAGAAGCAGAAGTCGATCGAGGTATGATCGTTATGGATCACGACGTCGATTATCACCACCTCCTAGACGTAGAAGATCTGATTCTCGAAGGAGGTCGAGGTCGCCCAGGAGACAAAGGGATAGGCGAGAAAGATCTAGAGATCGTCGCAAGAGTCGCAGTAAGACCAGAAGTAGGTCTAGACGATCTACCTTAAGTTATTCTCCCGTGAGGAAAAATCCGGAACGCTATAAACATATATTAGAAGAGAAGAAGAAACGAGATCAAAAGAAGAATCACGACACCAAAAGAAAATCCCGGTCAAGCTCCAAAGTGAGAAAAATGAGAACAATTACACCGAGAGTCAGGCTACGTTCCTCGAGCGAGGATGAAACAGACATAGCAGACGATGAACCAAAAGCAGAGGACGAAGAAAAAATGAAGGAAATGCATACGTTAAAGCGATTGCAGAGTGGATTAGCAGCGAAGGCTAGAGAGACTCTTGGCAAAAAGGTAATAAGTCCAGTAAAGATCAAAGTTGAGAAGAAAGAAGATAACGTGTTGGATATAGCTTTACCAAATGACCCGCCCAAAATAGTACAAAATATTGTTGGTCCTGTGCAAGAAAAGTCTAAGTCAAAATCACCTATAACTCACCTACCTGCTATTCAGTCTCCAGTATCCAGCAGATCACCCTCGCCAGCTTTGCCACTGACTAGAGAAGAAGCAGCTATAAAAATACGATCTCCCAGTGAGTCACCTCCTCCGTTACCATCAGTCTTAAATAAAGTAGATTCAAGGTCACCAAGCGTGACAGTTAAGACAAATCATTGTTCTAAATCTCCGACGATTACCAAGAAAAATTCACCAGTTACATCAAGGAAACACTCGTCACAGAGCAAATCGTCCTCGCACTCGCCGCTCTTGTCTGTCTCTCACAAAGACACTACTATAAAATTGCGTTCTCCGAGTGAATCTCCGCCTCCGATTCCGACTAAGTTAAAACAAAGGTCCGCGTCACCAGTTACATCAAAAAAGAGTTCTCCTGTATCTAGAAAGCACTCTCCAAGGGATAAGTCTTATTCCAGATCACCTTCTAGGTCATATACGAGATCTGTATCGTTGGAGAAGAGGTCTTCCAGATCGCCTCGGCGTCGTTCTAGATCGGTCTCTAGAGACAAGAAATCGGCATCTCCTAGACACAGGTCTTCAACATCGCCGTCAAGATCGAAAAAGTCACCCAAATCCCCGGCGAGGTTGAAGAGACTGAGCAGATCAAGGTCTTCTTCGGGATCGAAACGATCAGTATCTAGATCTCTGTCACGTTCGAAAAAATCTCCGTCTCATTCCGCGGAAAAATCGAGGTCTAGAAGTAGGACCAGATCATTATCAAAAGGATCTAGGAGCCGATCTCTATCGAAGAAATCTCGAAGCAGATCTTTGTCAAAAAAATCACGCAGTCGATCATTATCGAAAAAATCCAGAAGTCGGTCGCTGTCGAAGAAGTCGAGAAGCCGTTCGCGCTCGTTGTCCAGGGTATCGCGAGATAAAGATAAGAGAAGCCACAGCAGGAGCAGTTCACGTTCTTCTTTAAGGTGAATAACTAATCTTTTTTCGATATAGTTTCTTTATTCCGTTTCTACAGGAAATATTTCTAATCTAATCTCATTTTATGTTCAGTTCAAGGCATAGTCGTAGAAGTTTCTCTAGCTCGTCACGGTCATCAAGCAGCGTTTCTAGTAGATCTTCTCGTTCAACGTCCAGCAGTTCAGTTTCTAGCAGATCTCGGTCTCCGTCGATACCTCGACGTCACGGCTCACCTAGTTTTCTCGATAGACGTCGTATCACAAGGTAGGTATTTTACAGAAGCGTAGTTTCGATATCGTAGCAGCAGGTTTTACAGCGCACCACGCCAAATTTTATAAGACCACGTCGTTGCATTGATCGTAGAAATGTTCATCTTCTTTCAGTTTTTATTTTTATTTTTTATTTTCATTGTTTTAATTTTACTTGCTCGTCGTTGATGTGCCCTTCTCACAATTGAAGCGCTCACTTGTATAAGAAGTTTCAACGGATAACAAACGATTTACAAAGCAACGATATCGATAAGTTTACGATGAATTCACTCTTGAACGTTCTTTTCTAAACTAATGCCATTTTATGTTGTGTCCTACAGGGACAGATCGAGGGACAGACATAGAAGATAAAGTTACGGCTTCGCACAGATGTTTTTATTACTTTCCTATGATTATAATGTAGTAATAAACATGTGATGCATACCGAATTTCATTTTCGTAATAAATAATTAAAACAAAAAGAGAGAGAAACAAAGCAGATAGTTACAATCGTGAAGATTAGTTTAGTATAACTATTAATGAGTATGTTTAGTGACTATTATAATTATTCGTGAATATGTCACATTACAACTTTATCAGTATCACTTCAATAATTTTCTAAGGGACTACTTTTAACACTATTCTACACTTATATGCAATATAATGTTTGATCAGTGAACTTCATTATCCTTGTAGAGTGAAAGTATACTTTATCGCACTGGTACCAATTTTATTTCAAGTATACTCAGACAAGTATATATATTTATGTTTGTATGATTTTTCTTCTTTCCTTTTTTTGTTTATATTTAATCGCTTATAAAATGATCTAAAAATGTCATATAAACGTAGCATGCGTGTATTTTCCTTATAAATTATTGTAAATTAAACATTTGCAGTAGAGATTCTCCTTTATTTTATGTCGATCACAAATAAAATGTATTTACTGCTATAAAAGCAAGCCTTTTTCTTTAGTTGTTGATATACAGTTTTGTTCATTGTATTCTGTGAATCATTTTCAATCCACACTGCCTTCCTTTATCAAAGACATGGCAAGGTAAGTGACACATTTTTATTTTTGCATGGTTTTGATGCATTGCATGATTTATTTTGCATGTTCTTTGTTTTCAGTATTCATTATCAATAACAATACATATATTAAATATTTATTTACATTATACTAATTTATGCAATAAAGTTGTTCATGATTAACATATATTTATCTGATCTTTAACTAACATTCTTTCATTTTGTTAGATAACTGTTACGATTATCATAATATCGACAGTCGTTAATTTTAGCGCCAGGAAACGACCAATTCCATATCATCGACCTACTCCGACACCACCTTCGTCACCGAGTAGTTCAGATAGCAGCAGACATAGTAATTGGTCAAGTCCAAGTCATCGATCAAGTTGTTCCCCGAGTCGAAGTCCATCATACACGCGTTGAAGTGATCAAGCGGATCCCTAAAGACTAGACGTTCCTTTTATGTATCAGATTTGGAATGGTGCGGATCATGGAGATCCTTCGATGCTTTTTTCTTACGATCTTACGTCATGTTAAATGGTGTTTATAATGTTGGAAATTGGCGCAGTTGTAAAGAAAGGTTTCACTGTATTTTTTCGTATCAGAAAGGTACGAAGATAATACACCATTCTGAGTTTGGTGCATGATCTTTAAATCTTTGTAAATTATTAATATGCATTCACATGTCTGATCTTGTAACTTAACAATACTCATTGGTGATGGTTCGCCATAATGCCATCAGCTTCAGTATTAGTAACACTAACGTTATTTCTATTGCTCCATTTTTATTTTAGATAGATATTAGGTAAGAATGATTTTAATGTACTTACAGCATGATATTTATATTTATATGGATCTATGATTTATTATTAGCGAAACGTATTGTCAAAGAAATGAGAGATTTAAATTTGTCTGTTATTCATTTTTTAATTTTGTAAATTGGAACAAGATTTGGAAGCTAAAAATGCAAGAATAATCAGAAGAAATATTTTAATAGTAGGATCAGTATATGGTAAAATTTTATAACAGTCATTTTTGGAAGTACATTATCTTCATTAATTATGTTGTCTCACGGTCTCGTGAATTTTATGTCTTCATAAAATAATGTTTTTCTAAGTACTTAAGCAATAAGAAGGCAATGATAATTATGTATAAGCATCATGAACTGTGTTGATTCCAGCTTCTTAAGATCTCGCATTATTATTCAATAATAATTTTATTATATGAAGATTTATTTAAAACTACTTTAGTAGTTCAACGTCCGCGTGATGATTTAATTATATTAATTGTTTGTTATACAAACACCAGCTAGTCAAATTTTAGACATTCCATTAGTAATTAATGTACTTTACTAAACCATCCTTCGAATTGATCTATTCATTTTTCAAGGAAGTAATAATTAATATTTTAGTGCAATGTTCTACATCTGTTCCTTTTGTATATAGGTATTATCGTGCTTAGCACTGTGCTCATTTGCCATATTGATTTATTTATTTTCTGACTTATATATTTGTTTATTTATTTATTTATTTATTTATTTATATCACGAATAGCTAGTCATTTATCAATTTCGAAGACAAGAAAGTGTATAAAAGTGATGTTAAACTTTTAAACTTTCATTTACTGGCAATACTCAATTTATCTGAATGCTAGTCAGGAAGTTTTCATTTGGCTGTAAGGCCAGGCAGCGTACCAAAAGACATAATTAGATTAGTCTTGATTATTCAAAGTTAAGTCTTGAAAATGTATGTATAGGGTTAAAAAATCATATTTGAAAAGTCTACATTGTTTATAATTAGAAAGAAGAACTGTAGAATTAGCTCTTACATAATGACTGACTCAGTTTTATTGGAGGAAAAAAAATGTCAATTGCTATGGTGTTGCAATATTAATTCTCCTCTGATGCATATCTATAAAACTGAATAAATATTTATCATGAAACGCTTGTTTTATAGGATTATTATAAAATTTGAAAGATTCAATTTATTCTTTGATTAGTACGATTTACAATATTATAAAACTTTAATAGATATGAAATGGAAGTTGTTTATACAAACGTGCAAAAGAGAAACTATGTTATATTTTGCACACCATGGCTTTTGATTTTAATATTTATTATTCATAATTTACAGCCATCGAATGTTACCATCGTTGAAATGAAAGAAATTCTGATTATATCTGTAATATACTCTGTATTGTTGTTGTGTGATTAAATTAAAAAGCTTAAAATATTTTCTTCTTCTTTCATAAAGTGAATATAAAATTTATTTATACCATAATCATTTTTATACTATAACTTACAAACTATTAAGGAATAATATATAAACGCATTGTATATAATATAGAGTAATACAATAATACACAGATTAAATTGTTTAACATTGGAATAAGAAATTATTTACATAATTTACATATAAAATATGTAGTACTCAGCAAATATAGGTCTCATAAATTCATAAAAATTTCTATTATAAATTCACTAAATTTCTATTATATGGATATATTAGTCTTGTATTTATGTTATTTTATGGCTTTTGACTGTTTAGAACGTTGTTGCGCAAGATATATAACCCAAACAAAACCAATAAGATTTACCACAAGGACACGTAGCTGAAAAGAAATTGTTAAATGTATATTAATTTCCTATCAGTAAAAGGGCAGTTTTAATTATTAAAAACTCAAATAATAGAACTTACTATTGGTGGAACATATTTTAAATTAATAAACTGAAGCAACGTTAAATATTTTAAATTTGCAGTAATTACTGGCCAATATAATTTTTTCATTTGCTTCCAAGCATTATTGTGTGAATTACCCTGCATGAAGTGAATTTAAGTTTGAGTAACTGGAAAAGAACAATAAATGACAGAAACAAATTGACATAAATAAATCATACCTCAAATATAGACAACATGTACAATGTTAATCCCTGATAACATGGTGTATATAAACACCTTTCTATCAACAAAAGTAATAAAGGATTTCTTACAAATGGATGTATATATGTATAAAAATAATGTGGAAGTGGGCCTCCAAAAAATAGCCTGTGAAAGAACATTTTATTAAAACAAAGAATTTTCAGATCAAAAATTATACCAGCTATACTTGAATGCTTGATACTTAAACTTACCCAAACAGAGCAAATGCAAGAAAACTATCTTCATTGAAATGTTTTGCACCAGAAATTTTTTGTGAGATAAAATTCCCAAAAGCTGCGATGACACAACTGAGGAACGAATTGTTTATTTTTAAAATATTTAAAAATTTGTGTTCGCTATAACGTACCTTGTGATCGCTTTAGTCTTTAGTGGATTCGTATAAAGACTTTGAAAGTAAGCAGCAGTAAGTTGAAATATAAAATTTGTAGGCTTGGAAAGAGCCATTTTGATCGCTCTGTTCCTCTATATTAAATAAATGATAAAAAAAAGACGAGAGTCAAACGTGATATTTCATAAAACACGAACCGAACTGTCTGATAACAGCAAATTAGTAGTGGATAATACAAACAGTTAAATGCAACACATACAAGTTTCCTGTAATCTTCGTATAATCTTAATGTAATTAAAAATAAAAATTAGTATTGGAAATTATATTGCGATAAATCGAATATTTAAAACATTTCATTGTTTATGCAATATTCTGCAATATTATAATTTGACAAATATTACAATTTTCGTACAGTCATAGTATATAGTACATAGTATATAGTACACACAGTATCTCAACAGTGATGTTAAGATAAAATATAAAATAAATAGAACTGATAAAAACTGATCAGTTACTGTTTTTGTGTACGTACTGAATATTTCATAATATTTTTTTATATACTTGGTAACATGTTTAATTTACACTTTGGTAAAGTTTAAGTTAGGTTAAAGAGGTTAAGTTCAGCATCATGAGAAGCTACTTAAGCATGCACCGTGTGGATTAACCCTAGGATAGGTGCCGGAACTAATTTATATTGTTAACCTTATCGCACACTATCATTCTCCTTGTCTAACTCGCAAATATGTCTGTCTTTGACTCATATTATCGCTCTCCTTGTCTACCACGCAAATATGTCTGTCCTTGTTGCACACTGTCGCTCTCTTTGTTTACCGCGCGTATATGTCTGTCCTTGTCACACGCTGTTTGTCTCCTTGTCTAATGACGCTAGACAAGGAAAGCAACA